CATGCAATTGTCTATTTATCACGCCATGATATGCTTACAGACCAATGCGTATTCCTTTGAAGTTATCCCGACCTTGTACACAGATCATAATAATATATAGTTTGTAAATTACATATGGGATTAATTACATGTTTAATTAGATCATAGCCAGTTCGTGCCTTAACAGAAGTATATACAAAGTTGAAAAGTCGATATCATCTATTATCAAAACAAGCTGGGGTCAATAAGTTCACAGAATCTAAATAATAGTTCGCATTTTATAAAGAAGAAAATTAAGCACTTAGTCACAGTACCCAGATGTTAACTATACAGTGGTTAACGAGTTAGATCTGTAACTTCATGGTTGCATGTTTGATCCTCAGTCCGGAAATGTGGTTCAATCCTGCATACTTGGATACATCACTTTATTTCTGTATTCATGGTTGCGTATATAGTAAATATACACGTACATTATATGTGCAATGAACAGAGATGGAGGCAAGAACATAACCAAGGCAGTAAAAGTGGATTACATGAATAATACTTATCAATTTCATGTTAATTGGGAAAATACTTTTAGCTACTATAGGGAGTCTTTATAATATTTAATTTTAAAATCTTTATTTCTTTTGTAGATCATAGAGCCCATCGCACTGGTGGTGAGAAGAAGATGTTACTGTGTCGAGTATTGTTGGGTAATGCTTATCTGTGTTCAAATAATAACCCTCCGAAATACAAGAAACCACCATGCAAAGATTTACATCATTTAGAACCAAATTGTACTATGCATCATGGCTTTTTTGACTCGGTTCTGGGAGATGGACCACGGTTTTTTCGAGAGTTTGCTGTATATGATAGTAGAATGGTGTATCCAGAATACATTATAACCTATAAACGAATATGATATGTTTGTGAAATGAGTAGTATGTTTAACAAAATTTATATCAGCTGATAACGGCACCTTAAGATTTTCTGTGTTTAAAGGAGCTAAATCTGTATTCTTTGACACCTAGAAATGGACACAAATATTAGAATGTAATATGAATGCATATAAACTGATTAACAATCAATTGTTTCTGTTTTTACTATAATTTTTAATCAGTTATATGTTCTGCGAAATACGTAAAGAGCCCAAAGTTATTCCAGTCTACTCTCTCGTGGGATATGATTAGCCTCGTTCATTACAAATGGCGTTCGAAAGCATTCTATCACGCGATTCGTGTGCCAATTTTAAAATTTTCATTTTGTCTTGTATATTGGATACCAGAAGCCCATTTTTACAGTAAGATAACATCAATGTTGATTTAAATTGACCAACAAGAGGTGTTTGCAGTGCAGAAGACTGTTGATGATATTGAATTGGAGACTTGCCTCCTTTAATATAATTTATGTAATAAAACTAAAAATAGTAGACAAACAACAGGTAAATACTTTTCCTGTCAAATTTAATATTTCTTTTTTGATCAAGGGAAACACAAATTTAACACTTTGTTCTTACCTGGGGAACCAGTGAGTAAGACTGGTTTTCGTGAGAAAGTTCAGCAGGTTTTCCAGCATGGTTCCCACAATGGTGTAGGGCGAAACACTGAGGTCCCGTGTACACATTGGCGTGCACATAAATAAGAATAGGCCGTAGCGCTGCTGTCCTGGCAAAATTCCTCTCATAGCTATAGCACACTGGATGGCGTATGTACGTCTTCATTAGCCCAGTCGGTGCAGAAAAGAAGTGTTTTAAATCCATTTCATTTCATTTTTGTTTTTACTCAAATCAAACCATTCTTTTGCATGTCATTTTCATGGGTTTGAATGTTATATAAATTATTATTTAACCATTTATTAACATGACAGGCACACAATCTACTCTCCACGTCATCGGAGGGCTCCAATATTAAGTAGATTTAAACACCACCGTCATGTAAAAGTTTAACGATCAATTAGATAGTCAATACCGTTGCTACGATAATAAACAATCTGCGCTAATTTTTGTCAAAACTTCAAACATACATAACTTCGCACAGAATATTCAATATATCCATTTTTCATTATCTATTTTTTAGCTTTTATACCAACAACAGCTAGCTATATATAATTCGCTCCGTTTGAAAACAGGCGCGAAGCTAGTTGGCTAAATCGTCAATTTTAGTTGAAAACACTAAGTATACTTTGAGATTTGAAAACAGGCGCGAAGCTAGTTGGCTAAATCGTCAATTTTAGTTGAAAACACTAAGTATACTTTGAGAATTGGACTTTACCCTAACCATAAGTGTATCATTCATGGCAATAATTGAAAATCACCAGAATTAAAATAGTCGTTGAACTCAGAACTGTGATAAATATTGATTGTATGTAATTATGTCTGATTTTATGTAATGAAATTAACCAATAAACAATAATTATAATTTCTAAAAATTTACAAATGTACAATTAAAAAAACAGTCATAAAATTGTACATTTTAACAGAATTGAAAAATGGAAAAGCTTTGAGATAATGATTGAATATTTGAATTGTAAAATCACCATGTCTACTACATGTCTGTGTGCCGCAGTGGCTTAGTGGGTAAGATTTCGGCTTCTTAACCCGATTGTGGAGTGTTCCATACTGGTGTTGGCCGAGGAATTTCAACTGGATTTTCCGGCGTACACTACCCCCCCCCCACCTTCCCACCCTTGTCAGGGGTACACAACAGAGGGTCTGGCAAGAGACAACGTAGGCCTATAGTCGTTCTATTAGCACGCTGAGACTGTGCGACGTATGCCCGTCTTCATTAACCCAGTCGGAGCAGAACAGCAGGACATTAAATCTCATTTCACTACATGTCTGCTATTTGTATATGGACGAGGACCTGTTAAATGTAAATGTTTAAAAAGAATGAATATTTTTATTATGTATGTGTTTGTGACTAATAAATATGTATTATAATGGTGCCTTACACCAAAAACATAATAATATACAGTAACAACAACTTACAGTGTTCTTTTAGATTTGAAGAATGTCATGGAGTCTGTTGTGGACCAAAGATTTTATCGCGGGTGTCTGGGGTTTACCTCCTTCTAAATAACTTCGTTATCACATAAGTATATATCAGCTTTTATATTATATGTGAGGGCATAGTAGTGACACGAGTAGTCAAGTAGAGGAAAATAATATTATCCATCGAACCTCGTCGACATGACGTAATACATATAATTTGAGAGTAGTGGGGCCAATCCCGATAATATATTTTGGAGAATTAAACTGCTTAATTTGTGTTAAAATCCCTTAAAATTCTCTACCTTAGGGCCGAGCAACTAACTCAACATATTTTTTTTTTTTATAAGCAATATTTTATTCAGATTTGTATCTGAATAGGGATTGTGGAACAGGCATGGCCTATATTAAACCCCTCTCCCTGTCAGATTTAGATACATGTATTTACATTTTAGAAATAGATAATCAATGTACACGTGCAAGTATGAAATATATTCACAATGAGTGTTTATAGTTGTCCCTGGAACCGTCTGGTGATTTCGAAAAACGAGTAGACAGTTTTAAAAATATTGAGTGAGTTTTCCACGTCGTCAATTCCGTGCAATAGAACAGTAGTGTTTCGATGAATAGTCGATAAATTATTTATTGTTTTATTTCGGACATCTGAATATGAGGAGCAATTCAATAAAAAATGTTCAGTGTCTTCAAATTGATGTCCACATTTACAGGATGGATTGTCAGAAATGTGACGTAAAAATTTATGTCCGTTTAGATTGCTGCAAGAGAGACACAGTTTAGAATGAATGATTTGGTTTGTGCGGGATCCAAACGAAAAGGTTTTTGGTGGTGTTGAATCTTGAGCCATAAGTTTCGAATTGAAAATATTTAGAGATAATGAATTTTTTGTATCTGCACTTAATTTGTTCCATTCTCTGATTGACGATGGTATGAAAGAATTATAGAAAATATTAGTTTTACATTTATATTCAGGTAGACATGTGTTTCGGAGATTATAGTGTGCGCTTTTTGTCAAGATTAAATCATGGAGATAAGATGGAGAAAGGCCGTTTATAATTTTATAAATGAGTTTGAGTTTATGTCTTCTGCGTCTCTTTTTTAGGGTAATAAAACCGGTTTCTTTATATAACAGTCTATAACTGGTACCCCTTACAGCACCACATATGGACCTAAGTGCATCCAGTTGGAGGTGCTCTAACCCGTCAGTCTTTATCTGGAAACCGGTGTCCCAAGCTGTATTATGCGGTGTCTGGATAAAACCAGACTTTTATTTTATAAAACTAATGTGTAGGTGCAATTTACCTTTCGTTATCAAGTACAGCACATAGGTCATTCATTGTAAAGACCTCTAAATAAACGGGGGTCGATTATCAGGTCACCCAACGAAAGAATTGACCCAAAATCTTAAAAGGGCTACGTGTCCAGATAAGGAATTTTGACGTTCGCGTCCAAATAACTCAATATTTTGAGCTGAAATTTTGAGACAAGGTAAATACACCATTCCTCTATATTTTGGCGCTTAAATTTGATACGTAGTCAGACTTTTATTTTTGAGACTGTTCAAATCGGGAGGCGGGATAGTCCCTCAGCAAATTTTAAGTCTCTAGGACCACGGCAAGTACTGGGTGTACGAAAGTCCATTAGCGCCGAAATGTAAATAGTCTATTTATATGGGAGTATATTGTCATCAGTAGTGATACAGGTAGGTAGTCAAAGTAGCAAAATAATGTAGTAGGGTGAATTTCGACCCAATAGTAAATGTTTTAATATATCGTGCTAACCATTGCTACCGTACATGTGTTATTTCTTGTTTGTAATTTCTGGAATGGTCGTGGTTAAATAAATGAAAACCGGAATCTTCTTGGTGGTTAATATTTTTATATTCTTCGGTTAACAAATAATCAACATGAATTTCAGCACACAATTAATGTAACTAACGAGAGAGAAGTAACATGAGTTTGGTTTGGCGATTCCGTGGACTCAGCAGCAACTTCGATTTACTGGTTCAAGGGACATAACTCCACTTTCTGTGGAAATTCTGACATTCAAAATGGCCTCCCACGGATCTCAGGTTTTGAAAGATTTTGATTTGTTTGTTCATTTCGGAATGTTTACTAATAAATGCATTTTAGTTAGTGCATGCTGTACAAACAGGTAGTTTTTTTACACTTTAAAGTAGCTAAGTCTCTAACTCAGTATCATGCATAGTATTCGACATTGAAAACACGAATTATTTGTCAATTGAATTTATTATTTAACCAACATTGAATTGATGTTGTGATCTTACCGGGAAAAGATGGGCTTCTGATATCCAATATTTAAGACAAAATAAACATTTTACTGGTACACGAATCGTGTACTATAATGCGTTTCAGCGCCATTTGTAACAAGGGACTCGAAGAACAAGGCTAGGCATATTCCATAAGTCATGTCAAACGGTAACTCCATATTCTTTATATCTGTTGTTGATGTTTAACGTCCGCTTCCACCAAAGGTGATATCGCAGACAAGTCTTATTTTCAATTTTTATTATCTTAGGGATCTTTCCTGTGGGAGGAAACCGGAGTAAACCCACGAGTAAACCCACTAGGTTGAGAAGGCGCCCCTATCTCCAAGCTACATACGCTCACACTAGGGATCGAAACCACACCCGCATGGGGAGCATGTGCACTAAATACTATCAGTGTAGACTAGAATAACCAGATGCTAGAGATTGCCATTCGATTAAGACTTCTGGCATATTTCGCCGAACATAACTGATTAGAAATTACAGTAAAAAAAGAAACGACAAGAATGTAAATCAGTTTATAAATATACATTCATATTACGGTATATTATTATATTATATGAGTTGCGACCCATTTGTGACAATTTGTAGGTCCCAAATATTAGTGATTTATCTTCTTTAATGTTTCCCATTTGACTGAATACAGTGTATTACTAAATTTAGGCAAATCAAATGGAAATATAGTCCGAACCGACTGTTTCCTTGTTCTTCTGTCATCTGTGTAATGGTAATCCGAGTTCTGAATAATCTGAATCTGAGGCAACTGTATGTACATGTACACGGAGTGTCGCCACATTACTACATGTGACAGGAGACTCCGTTCATTGGGAATCAAACCCACGACCTCAGACATGGATTCCTAGCTATGAGGATGTAGCTAAAAACATTGAGATACTGTGATGTGTTTGTTTTTAGCTACAATTAGATGGCTTTGGTCTTACCTAGCAAACTTTTTAAAAATAAGTTAAATTTACACTATTGGTAGGAAAAAAAAAACACAGTAAGGGAATAACTAAAAGTGTATTTAAAGGTCCAATGCCTAGCTCTGACAGTAAGGCAGCCAGCTCTTTAAACTTACAGCAACTGGGGGTGGGATTATATGCTTAATTGTAGTTGGATGAGGCAGGAATGTAATAAATAATAATATTATTGTTTGAGGAAAAAAATGACAGTTTTGCTTTTTGAAACCTCATCTGATTTGCATTGGTGTTTTGCCAGGTAAAACTATATAGTACCCTCTCTATTCCTCAAAACTCAGAGGGTTGAGAGTCGATGAGAGATAAGGTTTCTTATCTAATGGAATCCATCCACCTCTAACTCTTCAGAATCTATGTGACAGAATACTTGTATTTAGAAACTGGCGAACCCAGACATGGAACCCATTCATCTCTTCCAAGTTAGTCAAAGATAATTCCATTTGACTGACCAAATCAGTATGGTAGGAATTTAAAATCGAGACAGCACAGAACAATCTAGGCATCTCTACTCCGCCCTAGATGTACAAACAATCACACAGCACACCACATATTTACATCCCTCCTATTCTTGCATGTCACTTTTCTGTCAATGTTGTAGAACATGTATTAAACAAACAATGATTAGCCTACTCTCTCAATCTCTGAAACATTGTTTCTGATTTATGTTCAAGTGATTGAATTCTGACACAGTGCATGATGAAATAAATATAGATAACCTTAAGTCTCATCTATCAACCCTCCTATAAACAAACATCAGACATAATGTATCAATGTTTTTACTGACTATTTGTACATACATGTAGCTGCCGGTAGCTAAAATAAAGTTTTGAAAACCTCAGGAAATAAAACTAATGAACATAGCATGTGCAATAACAATATTAACATAACTATAACACATGTACTTATGGAAAAACAGAACTTCTCTCAAGGTTATCAAGCTAATATATTTATTAACTTAATGAGATAAATTTACAGAATTTAATTAAATTTGAACATCATATGTTAGTCCTGAAATGACCTAGTTTGTGTCCAGTGGGTGTTAAACCCCCATTTCTCTCTCTCTTCCGTTCATCAGTCGCCCCTCTTAAACACATTTGTTTGTGGACAATCTAATGTCACAATTTTTAACTGATTATGATGAAATTTAAAATATATGTTTACATGTATATCCCACAGATCTCTATTCATTTTGATATTGACTATGTCAGAATGTAACATCCTGGATTATGGCCCTTGATTATACAAATAATGGCTTTCTTACCTTGTTCTCTGTCCATCTGTTGCAAAATGTTTATGTATCTTGCATGGCAATGGCTTGTTATTATGAATGTTATTCAGAAATAAAGAAACATTTTAAAGTAAGCATTAAGAAGTTGATTAAATGAATGTGATTCAACTTTGATTTGCTTGCTCGGTCTTCAATAAAACTTTTATGTACATTATATTAGAATCTTTTTATATAATCTATTTTAGCAAATGTCCAGCATGGTACCAAGCACAAGTACACTTTCCATGCGAGAAAAATCCCACTTGAAACGTAGAATTAATCGCCAACACAATTGTAATTTCCGTGCTGGGTATATTGAAGTAAATGAAGAATATCTACATAAAACTGGTATTCGTGGCAGAAAGAGATACTTACTTTATTGTGTTGTAGCTATGCTCATTATTGTAGCTCTCTTAAATGCACTGGTAAGTTCTAAATATACATGTATAGTCCAAAATATCTGACCTCTCCCAGGTCTTTATTTGATACATGTAGCTTTCTCTTAACTGTACTGGTAAGTTATGAATATATTTTAATCTTTGGTCCAAAATATCTGACCTCTACAGCCTTTACTTAATTGCTTTTCATGACCAAATGTCAACCATGGGAGAGTCAGAACGGAACTGTAACCTGTTTAATTTCAACCACTGATGCTGTAGTGTCATTAAAAAGAGCTGAACATAATTAAGTTTGATTTTTCCCTCTATTCTAATGTATATTTTGAGTCTGCAACACACATTTTTGAAGCGAGTTTACTTCTACGCTGTTGTTGCTTCAATATAATAGAATAGAGTACAAGTACCGCCCAATCTGGATGTGTCCCTAGTGTAATCTTTTTATTTTAAAAGTATATAATTGAACAAACAGCACTAGATAAGGGGTTAACATAGTTGTGCATTTTTAAATGTCATCTTAGGTAGAAGGTGAATAAAATAATCAATGACAATGAAATGAAATGGGGTTTAATGTCTTACTGTTCTGCACCAACCTGGCTAATGAAGACCGGCATACATCATGAAGTGTGCTATGAGTGAAATTTTGCCCAGACAAAATCATTGTTGTCTACTTGTCTTCGTCAGATTCCAACTGTCTAGGATTCTTTAACATGCACACCTCAGTTTTTCATTCCATCTGAAAGACTAGGTGCTGTTCCTTGTCAGACTCTCTGTTCTGTACCACTGATATTAATGGGAAACTACACTGAAAAAGTTTGAGTCTCAACAAGTATGGGATGAAACATGGACCTCCTGGTTTGTGATCTTGAGCCAACCCCCATCATCACTGAAACCCCATGGCTCCCACATTGATAATAGAAGATGGGGGAAAAACCTCTGAATTTTTACCTGTTTTAAATATTTTCCTTCACAATCAAAATCATATTTTTGCAGCTAATATCTTATTTTCTTTAAAATCATCTAATTTTCTTTGTTTTAGGTAACAGCTGGTTTGATTTATTTTCTTGGAATCACACATCTTGGAATTGATAGTTTGGAGTTTTTACCAGCGAAAGGTTTGTTGAGGGTATTCGGAGAGGCAGAGGTACACAAGATAAAAATGTTTGATTCGCGAATCGGTGGACGATATGAACAGGATTTACATGTAGCTGGTATGGAAGGTCCGGTAAGATTTATCGTAGTAAATTAGGTTTAATGCCATGAATTAATTGTGCTAGTATGAATGAAATTTTGCCCGGACAGTAGCACAATTTTTAATTCCCCATATCTTTGTAAATACTGAATGGAATTGATCCATTTTTGGACTGATATTATACTTAGAGATTCAACTTCCCCGAAATCACAATCAGTGGTTTTAATGATTGTTGTATTTTGTAGATTGTTATTCAAGCTCCACTAGAAAATGGAACAAGAGGTAAGTTACAACCAGGGATCTTAATCAGCTGATATTTTACGGCTTCAGTCACCTGATGTTTTGGAAAGCTGATTGATATAACAATGAATAAGTCACTGTGGTATCCCAAATCAATCTACTTTCGACTCAAGCAACTTGTTTGTCAGGTACAATAAAAGTCATACCTTGTGAGAATCGGCCTTGTGATTCATATGATCCGAGTAACTTACCACATAATGTATGAATCCTGTTTAGGGAACTGTAGTTCACAATTCTTTTGTGTACCGTGCTGGTGGTTGAAGGAAGGCAGGGTTACCTATATAGGTAGGGAGGAATTTGTTTCAGACTTTCAGAATAATAAAACAGTTTCTGTATTCATATATTACCCCCCCCCCCACCCAAAAATCACATGTTTAAATTGTATTTAAGGAGTGTTTACCAATTCTGTGGAAGAAAAATGAATATATCTTACCTTATCTAAAATTGTTGATTTTTCTTCATAATGCATAGTAAATGTGTCAAGATTACTACTAAAACTTACGTTCCTCCTTGTATCTCCCTTTTAAGGATCTAAAATCCTATAACTACTTAACTGATGCTTTGTTAGTCTATGCCGGTTTGGATACTTTGTCGCAAATCAGCTATTAATCATACTAATTGTTTAATATTCTGATTAAAGATACATTATGAGATATTAGATAAAGAGCTGACAGTTCTCACTATAATAGATAATGTAAAGGGAATGTGCTGAAAATTTCAGTCAAATTGATCCACTCTGAACCGAGAATTTAGCCTCGATCATCATTACTAAAGTCGGTACGATAAAAAACATAGTCTCGATTATCCATTTCATACTTTAATTATGAATGAAAGTTGAGCAGTAAATCGGATCCTAATCCAGTAAATATCGCAGGCTAGCGATGACATCAAGAGATGATTATGGTCTGGATAAGTTAATCAATGTCTAATTAATAATTTAGTAACATTTCAGGTCTAAAGAAAGACCTCTAATAGGCAGATTTAGCATGTGTATAAAGCATGATTAATTAAGAAATTATAACAGTTTTTAGCTCTGGTATTTAAAATCTTATTGAATAGTGCCTTTAGTTTATCTTTGACATCACTAACTCCAAACAAACATTTTTTGGGTAGTCTACAAATCTAAGAATTAGTTTTCAAACGTTGTAGGCTACTTGAGAAATGTGGAGGTATGCTATATACAATAAGTTTGTAGATGAGCATTATATAGCATGTTTGAACTCCATGTAAAGGTTGAGGGGTAATTGACTTTAGTAACACTATTGCTACTTTAGGGGAGATCCTGTCTTTATGTATTTGACAAGTTGATATAACTTCTGTTAACAAATTATTTTGTTTTTAGTGGTTATGTTTGATGAAAAGATCTCGATAACAACAGATAGTTTTCAAGTTAGCAGTAATATTAATGGTGAAGTATTTTTATCAACATCCAGAAAGTCAACTTATCCCATGAAAAAAAGTAATAATTTACATGCCGAATCTGTACAAGCTAAAATAGTAAGTTGTATATCATTGGTGGGGAGTCAAAAAGTCATATTTGACTTATTTTACGAAATTCCCTCTTTTGGTTCTTCACAATCCAAATTTTCTTTTTATGAAGTTGTATTTCTGAAAAATATAAATTTGGTAAAACACTGTATGACCTTCTGACTGTGAAGCGTACAATGGACCAGGAACCGGGCGTGGCATCAGCATCTCATCTTGGAATTGTAACGTCAATATTACGTCATTTATATCAAAAATGGTAGTCCGTCAAATGATGTACACTTGTCCATGGAAAAAGCATGTTCATCGTACTTGAATTGGTGTAACCTCAGGCTTTTTATACACTCACATGGAAATGTTGTCGTATATTGCTGTCGTCTCCCTACCTCTGTATGTCCTTTGTCCCCATTTTCTTGTGAACATTCTACAGACTACATTGATCATCTGATTGTTTTGAAATTGATATAACTTGTTTACATTAGTGAGATGAAGAAGTCTATTTTAATTTCAATAATTTCTGTTAATTTCTTCTGGAGTTATGGCAATGTTTTCTGTAGGTCTGTATTTCATTTTTAATTGCGATTTTTTTCAGGTGCGCAGTGGATCTAAATATCCTGATTTAGTCATTGAATCTTACAATAAGATGAAAATAATGGGATCAGAGGGAGTAAATATCAACAGCCAGAAAGGTATTGTCCTTGCTCCAGAACATGCTGTTATATTAAATACAACGGTAAATAAACATTCTTCTATTACATAATATCTTTTATATATAGTAATTGCAGGAGGACCGTACCACAGATAAACAATTATACAAGACCAACCTACGAACAAGACACAATACACAGACATTTCAAACAATAAACAATGAACGTCTATATCAGATCTTCCAGCGAATTGGTCCGGGGACAGCCTGAAGCATCCACTGCGATGTACAGTCCCGGGCCTGTAGTGATATAGGCTTCTGGTCAATCAAAATGAAAACAAACTAATAAGAGGGAAAACAATCTAAGGAAAACAGGTGAATAGTCATGATCGGCTATGTGCTACAATGTCAGCACATTGAAGAATTACATAATATCTTGTATGTCATTATTACATAATATCTTGTATGTCATTATTACATAATATCTTGTATCTTTTATGTCATTATTACATAATATTTTGTGTCACATATCTTTTATGTCATTATTACATAATATCTTGCTTGTCATTATTACACAATATCTTCTATGTCATTATTACATATTATTGCATAATATCTTTTATGTCATGGTACATAATATCTTTTTTGTCATTAGTACATAATATCTTCTATGACATTATTACATTATATCTTCTATGTCATTATTACATAATATCTTGTATATCGTTATTACATAATATATTTATGTCATTATTGCATAATATATTTTATGTCATTATCATTATAATATATTTGATATCATTATTTCATAATATATTTTATGTCATTATTTCATAATATATTTTATGTCATTATAACATATTTTTTTATGTCATTATTATATATTTTTTTATGTCATTATTATATATTTTCTATGTCTTTATTACATAGACAGCAACATGGGTTTTGAGGTTTTTATACGAATCATCACCTTTATACTTTTTTTTTTTCAGTCTGGTTCCATCACATTACAAGCAGGCCAAGCACTTTATCTGAATAACCAAATCCCATTGGTTCCCACTTATCAGATGGACCAATCACAGAACAATATCAGCACTCAGTCAAACCCTTCTAACCAATCCGATATCTATAATAGTACTGGCCAACCCCAGCCATCAAGAGATATCAATCCAAGCGATCAAGCCTACAAATTATGCTCTTGTTTATCCAGTGGGAGAATATTTTCTATAAAAGTGACTCAAACTGGAATCGGTTGTAATAATGTTAATGCAAATGTGTGTTGATCATTGAAGTTTTTTTCAATGTATAATGAAACCATTGTGCCAAAATATTTTCCGTCCACGTTCTGATATTCTCTGTCCAAACAAGAATATGTTTCAGTATACTGGTACAACTTTAAAAAATATATCCCTAGTTCTCAATTAATATCAACTTAATCAGATTCAAGGGGAAATAATTCTCAATTCTTACCAATTTGACCACTGCTATTCCAATGACCCTATATTGGCCTATTATAAAGAGAGGATGTAGATACATGAAACATTTTGTTGTAAAACAAGTAAATACATGTAATGCAATTTGTCCAACCTTTTAATACATATTCCTTCTCTGTGACAAAATATGAAATAGTCACCCTCATTAATCACTAGAATTATTTAAGTTAAAATGCCCTACAAAAACAGTAAAAACAGGATTAGATTATCCGAACAATGCTGGATTTATCTGTTCAATCTATTTAAAATTATATTTTTTTTTTTTTTTTTGACTTGGATATATTCTAGTTCTACCTTAAATATAAGACCTAGAAGTCTATTTTCAGTTACTGTGACTCAGAATATTGAGCCATTTTGAAATAATCACTAGATTTGGATTAAATGAGTTATGTAACTCATTTCATTTAAGGGATTTCACTCTTCATTTGTATAAGTGAGTTGATAATCGCAACGAACACTTACACTACTACAGTATATATAAACTTGGTTATCTAGGCACTTAACAGTATGGGATTTGGAGATTTGGGGTAATCCCCACATGTGAACTGAATGTATTTCTTCAACAAATTATTACAGTGCTGAAGATAGTTGGATAAAACTAGCAACAACTGGTTTATTATGGTTTAAAGATCAGTTTGATCACAATTCTGTCACATTAATTCTTTATTTTACTCAATCAAGGGCAGTAAATTATTATTCAAACAAGTCAGATTTTTATATTGTGCCAAATTTTTACATTATTTTTACCATGTCTAGTCAATTTATTTATACTTTTTAACTCATGAATTAAGCAATAAATGTTGTATTTTTATTTACTCTTATTTATTTTTGGGGTGCAAATTTAATGAAGTGACTGACTTTAGTTTCGAGTCAAATCCAAAGTCTTCACAAAGCTCAAGTCCTGTTCAAATTACCAGTTCATCAAATGAATCAGCAATTCATTTTTTCCAGTATGTTTACTCGAAACCTATAGAGTTATGTCCCCTCGCCACAACTCGAGTCCTTAGCTTTTTTAAGTCGTGAGTTGTCACGACTGCCAAATCCAAGTCGAGTCCCGATTCTCAATAAAAAAAATTCATGTGGATTCACAAGTCGAATGTAGTTCGTTCCCACCACTGATAATTGTCGTAAGACACAACCCGTGGAGTAATTATCAGAAATAATTAAAATATTTGATTGGTTTCTAGTACCTCCTCCTAGTACTAATATTTTTTGTTGAAAACATGTACATAATCAGATATATCAAGGGCCATAACTTTGACACAGCAATTATAGGATTCTTAATCTCATGAACATATAAATTATACACACTGTGTAAGAATTTCAAGTCAAATTTGTTGATAAGTTACTTAGTCTCTAAAGCAGTGGTTCTCAACCTTTTTTTTTTTTTACCAATGGCACACCATGGAACACATGAAAAAATAGCGGCACACCTGGCTAAATATATATGAAAAATATTTGAATTTTTCAAAATAAAAACATGGCAAGTCATATACGGCATAGAACCATAGACACATAGAATGATTCAAACTAAATAAAGAAAAACACAGCTATGAACTTTACAGTAGACACCAGTGAATACTCAACTGGGATCACGTGGTTTTTCGCATTTTCTTAGTGTGCCGTTCAATCGCGCCACACTTGGAAAGATCTCCGGGCACACGCACACAGGTTGAGAATCACTGCTCTAAAATGTCCTAGTGGCCTGATGGGTGGGATGACAACAGACCTACAAGAAAAAAAAATCTAATCACTTTTAGTACAATACCATGTTTAAAAAGACCAAGACAGAAATTCCAAATGAAATGAAATGGGGTTTAACGTCCTACTGTTCTGCTCCAAACTGGGCTAATGAAGACGGGCATAGCACTTAGGTTTAGGCAATTTAGAGCAAAGAATTTTTCGAGAGCATTTTCCTTGAAAACCATAATGTATCTTAAAATATATGTATTACCGTGAAGGATTAACAGATATGATTACAATGTATCTACGAACAACCCTTATGTTACTGTTTTAAATCAGGGTAAATCGACAATTATTTTTTTTTTAAATTTGTCATATTGACAAAATATGACCATATCCTTGAAATTTTTATAGGCTAACAATTTAAGGGACGTGTTCATTGGATTAAAAGGAAGAATCCACATAGTATGTTTTCATTTAGGGCAGAAAAATAGGACTTTAAACCCCATAAAATTTTCATTTTGTCTCATTCCTAATTTTTTTTCAACAAATTTGACGTATTGGCAAACTGATTTTGACAACCTACTTATTTGTGATGGTGATAAAGCGAATTTGAATCATTATAGGTCGACTGGCTGTTGCAATAAATATTATTGGCGACTATTCCAGAAATTGTTTAAAAATTAAATGACTAAAGCTAAGGGTAGCACGATTTGCGAAAATCCGCTGAAATCTGCCATTATTCAACTCAAATTACAATAATTTATACTGTTTTCTGATAATAACCGTTCTTTATGCCAATTTGTCATATGTTTAAGTGCCCCTCAAAATCCACAATTATTTCACCTAATATCACAATAATTTATATCGGGGTGACAGATTGGCATTTTTTCATTTAAAATTCGAGGAATGCTCACTAGTCCACGGGTTCATTAAAGTCCACCGATATCTATTATATAGGGGTTTGGTTAGGGATGGGGTATAGGTGCGGGTTCATTATAGTTCACCAATATCTATTTTAGGGTTAGGGTTCGGATATACCCATATAGTATTTCTTATATCGGCGGACTAGTGAACCCGCGGACTATAGTGAACCCCTCTCTACGTGTAAACGTGTAAATCGATCGCTTAATTTGATGGGCATTTTGACACAAAAACGCTACGATTTTGAATTTTAAAAAAATTACAATTTGGCATAAATAAAGAACGGAAAATTATCAAAGATTGATATAAATTATTGTGATTTGAAATTGAGTTGAATAATGGTGGGTTAAATTTGTTTAATTATGATTAGGACTATAGTGTTGGGGGGATTTTGGTAAATCGAATATACCGATGCCACGGCTAAATCAACTTTTAAAATATTCTCGGATTTTCTCATTTTCTTTTAATAAATGTGACACGATGGCAAAAAGGGAATTATGCAATGATTTTCTCTAAATTTTACAAAAACGCAGGTTAAAGCAAGTGCGCAACACATTTTTGTGATGATAAAGCGAATTTGAGCGCTGTAGCTGGTATTTCCTTTTAATGTTACGTCAGAAAATATTCGCGACTATTCCAAAATAGCCTCGAGTTATAGGGTTTGTTATTTGAGATACTATTAATAGATATTATTCATTGGGCGCTTTTAGGGTGAAATGACTGAATTTATTTTGTAAGAAACAATATTTGCGATCTAATATCAGTGATAACATTCCCCATTCGTGCTTTAAATTGACATCAAACTAATTTGCACTACGAAAATTGTTTATATAATCATCTGTCGAATTATTTATATTTTTAAAAATGATATTTACTGTAGTTATCCTTAACTGATCCTCATTGTATCAGCGGAAGCTGCGCAAAGCTTGTAAAATCGAACAAAACTGCGTCATTATTTACTAACATATTTGAGTAGCTGTCATAGTCACGAGACCCAATTATTTTTATTATTCGGAGTATAAAAGGCTAAATTTTCGCTTCGGTATCATAACCTCTACGCTTGTAACAGACAACGCACTGTAGATCATACAATTACGAACCAGAAGAAATCGCTGTCAACTTGAATTCTGAAACCGAAACCATTACATTGTTAAAATTTTGTAGAAGTCAACAAACTGCTTCAATAGTCTATAGAAGAAGAAAAACAAAATGTCGCTGACCGTGAAGGCGTATTTTCAGAAGAAGCCAGACGATAGTCTAGAAATTCGCCGGTTTACCATACCGGTGGATGCTTCATCAAGCTACGATTATATATTCAAGAAAGTTTCGGAGGTGTTCCCGAATTTTAGCCGAGGGAATTTTATTCTTTGTTGGAGAGGTAAATATTTTCATTATTTTTTCAAGTTTTTATTTACCATTCAGAAGAATCAAAATGATACTTTCTTCAATATTTAAAATTTAAAATACAAATATTTTTATAATACGTATGAAAATTGAAATAAAATAGTATACATATTTTTATATTATGTCTGAAAATCCATAGCCCCGAGGTTGGGGGGGGGGGGGGACCTATAATGGTTAACACGTGCAGGTTTAATCACAAGGTGTGTCGATCATTGAGTCAAGTTGTGTGGTTTTGTTTCCCCACTTGTAAGTGACAAGAAGTAGGCTTGCCTGTCCAACCTCGTGGTTTTTCTCCGGGTCCTCCTGTTTCCTTCCACTGCTAAAGACACCTATACGCAAGCAAACAGTACGTTACTTTGGGCTCTATCTGTGTGCCTGAAATGATAGACAGATTCCCGCTTCACAAAGCAAATCAACACTTTGTTTCCCCACAAATCAAAGAGTTCTGGTGATTTTAATCAGTTATGTCTGTAATCTGTATTTATCAGAATTTTTCTTAATTTCTCAGATCCTGAACATGAACTGGTTGCCTTTTCATCGGATGAAGAATTACTGGAAGCTCTAAGCTACGTGGAAAATGGAATATTAAAGATTTTTGTAAAGGAGAAAAGGACTGGTAAGTTTATACATAGAAACATCTGTCAAATGATGAAACTTTTTTCTGGTGAAATTAACAATATTTACATTCAGTGAAACACTGGGCTGTAAAAAAGAGAAATGAATGAATTAATTGGCTACTCATGGATGAATTACGGAAGATTTTCAAACAAAAACATCCTGCAGCATTCATATTCTTTGAATGAAAATGAACTTATATCTTTTTTTTTATGACAGGACATCCTACAGAAGAAGGTCCTGAGTCATCTGGGGAACTTCATCCCCATGTTGTCTGTGATGGATGTAATGGTGCCGTCTACGGTATCAGATACAAGTGCTGTGTCTGTCCCGATTACGACTTGTGCTCCACCTGTGAAGGAAAGGGCCTACATACTGAACATGACATGCTGAAAATAACCTCACCAAGATCGCAACAAAAATTTGTAAGTACATATACTATGTATATCTTAAGAATTCTTTTAAAAAATCATGATAAATAGCTTTTGGTCTATAGTATAAGTGTGTTAATCTTTGATATGTAATTTTATAAATCGGTTGTATTTGCTGTGGCTTTTATCATATTTTTCAAAAGTTTGATTACTTCGATGACTTGTCTACGATATCACCCTTGGTAGAAGGGGATGTAAAACTCCAGGAACGAACGAACTTCGATGACAAGTTTTATTACTTCGATGAAAAGTTTTATTACTTCTATGACACTGACGATTTTATAACTTAATCAGTTTTATAGAATAATTTGGTTTCGTAAACAAGTAAAAATCTACACAGTAATATAAAAAATTTGTGGTAATATTTTGTCCATTCTTTTCTACTGTAGTTTTGAAATGTATTAAAACAAATAATTAAGTGTCTTTGAAATAAATATATTAACAAGACTTTTTCTGCTAACTTACAGCCTTTTGTACCACCACCCCACTTCCGTCGATGGATGAGAAAATTTATGAATCGTTGGCATAGCAATCACCCTGAGGGATGTGGATTTGCAACTGAGTCCCCTGAAACGTCAGAGGAAAACATGGAGACAGAAAAGCCAACTGGAGCTCCAGCTGAAAAACAGGGAGAGACAACTACAGGTACTGAAGGGGAGGCAACTCAAGATGAAAGCAAAGAAGATGAAACAACTGCAGAAGAAGAATATTTGAAGAAATGGGGAGACAACATCACAGAAATGATGGATAATTTTGGTGAGTTGAATAGCACCTGTTCATATACCGGTACACCTACTTGTTTTTTTGTTTTGTTTTTTTTATACATGTCATTTGGACTTCCATTTGAACCATTCTAGTCTTTTGCCCTGCTGACATGGGCAAAGGTGTGGGGTTGTGTGTGACCAGGTGGTATAATTCAAACTACTGTAGGTTATAGCACTATAAGCTTACCCTAACTCTTAAGTCTAAATTTATTGTACATACACTTCAAGTTGTGGATAGATTCTTAAGATTAGCCAGTTAATTTGTGTTTTCTTCCGTAAATACAGATTTGATCTATTTGTTAATGTTATTTTGTAAGAAGCTTGGGACTTTTGAATAAATGTTTGATCTTGTATTACAGGAATCAATGTAACTTTCGAAACAGATCATGATGGAAAGAGAAAATTTTACCAAGGTAGATGTGGTCGTCGTGGAGGACGTGGTCGTCATGGGCATGGACACCATGGCCCACACGGACCAGAAGGACCCCATGGACCATTTGGGCATCCTCCATTCCCAGGAGTCTTTGGTGCACCAGGTTTCCCTTTCTCTGGACCCCATGGTTTCCCTGGACCCCATGGTCCACCACCACCACCACCTCCTGGCTGTCCTGGATTTGATGGTTTCCCTGGAGCCCATGTTAGACGTGGAAAAGGTTGTAAAGGAAAGGGTAAACAGGGATGCCCAGTCTTCTCCGGTACGGGACATAGACTGAATACTGAAAGTTCTGGTGAATCAAAGAACCAAAACCAAACCCAAAGTGAAGAAAACAAACAAACAGCCAATGAAAACCAGCAAACAAAGGAGAAGGTGAGTTGAGGTTTTCAGATTTTATATAATAAGCAATTTTGTTTTAAATTAATTGGGGGAGGGGGGCAAATGGTTAAAGCGTGCGCGTTGTATCATAAAGTCTGTCATTGGTTCAAGTGGCGTGGTTTCGATTACCCACTTGAATGTGACAAGGAGCAGGGTCATTCGTCCAAGCGAATTATTGAAATATAATTGAAACGCATGTTAATCCTGAAATGACCTAGTTTGTCTTTCTCTTTAACCTCCATTTTTTCGAGGTCTTGATTAAAATAAATAGCCACTTTAACCTCATGAAAGATGTTCGGATTAAAATTGCAAATCTTAGAAATTTGAAACTAATAGCTGTTGAACACTGCAACTTAGTGCTTTGGGTTTATGAATTAGTCTCCTTCCTGAAGAAATAAGAAGCAAAATTTCAACAGGTGTTACCGACGAACAGTTAAATAGTTCTGATATTATGAAATCACTGACCTGATCAGAGTCAGGGTTATTATATAGTTATACAATTGAAACTAGCTGCTGTATGCTGTGTATAGTTTATTCCTGACCTAATTTTGATGTAATTAAATGTTACTTAGACTATTGTATTGATTTTTTAGACATCTGGCGATTCAAGCCCCGAAAGAGACACTGAATGGATGGTATTGGACCAGAATGGATCAGTGATCCCACCAAACAGCGACCTGTCCAATCAGACAAGCATCACTATTATTGGTGGATCTGCTCCAGTCATTCCCCCAACCCCGGCTACTACTACAACACCAGCTGCAACTGCTCCAGCTCCAAAACCCACTCAGGCACCAAGACATTCTGGTAAGTATTCAAGACTTTAAACTGTACTTGATAAGAAGTAGTGTCTTCAAAGTTTATCATTCCCAGATGGCTTACTGAAATAATGTATTAGCCATATGTAAGGTCAATAAGATCTTGTGTTCAGTGGATGTTAACACCCCACTATCTACCAACCGCTCTGTCTTCAACTTAGTAGAGGGGGAGGGGCGGTGAAGAGAAGTAGGATTGCCTGTCCAGCCTTGTGGGTTTCCTCTTGGTCCTCCTGTTTCCGTTCACTACTAAAGACAACTGCTCACAAACGAATTGTTGAAATAAACTTAAACCATTTGTTAGTCCCATTTCTCTGTCCCTTAGTACAGTACAAGATCAGCTTTGACAGCAAGTTGCTTTGTGAAATCATGTAAATTTGTCTTCCAAACTAACTCAGTGATAGGAAATGGGATATTGAAGCAAGATGTGACCAGCTCTGGGTAAATGAGATACATATCCCAGGATGCTTATTTAAATTGTTTTATTACTTTATTTTTTTACAGATCCAAGAATTGCTGAATCTGTAGATCAAATGTTGTCAATGGGATTTGATAATGAATCTGGCTGGTTGACTCATCTACTGGAAGCCAAAGGAGGAGATATCAGTCAGGCTCTGGATTCTATCAGACCTGATCGTAGAGCTGCAGGTGCCCCACATGGAGGTCACATGGCTTAAAGCAACTAATAGAAACCGTTATAGGAAAGACCAACCAATGATGATTGCCCTTATTTATCAACTTATTTTATTGTAGGGCTCTGATTTATGTATCTTTAGTGCTTACATATGTATTTTTGTTTTGATATTTGTTAGGGTTTTTGGTGATTTATGTACACTTAATTGTTATTGGATATTCTTTAAACTAGGATTTGAAACAAATTTCTAAAAAAAAGAAAGTCATGTAATTTGATTTAAAAATTTATTTAAATGTATTTCCTTGACTACTTATGTTAAAATTTAAAACCACTATTGTTTTAAAATTGCATCAAGCTATAAATATTGTATTGTTTCATTAGTTAAAATGGTAGAAATTAGGGAATTTAAGAGAAATACTTTCTTAACACCTATATTAAAATGATTGAAATAAGGGATTTGTTTTAGAATAATAATTAATGAACACTTGTATTAAAATGGTTGAAATTGGGTGAATTGTTTTAGGGTATTAAAATAGTTAAAATTACACCACTCTATTAATTTTATGGTTATATTTTAAAGGTTTTATCAAATGTGTAGCTGGTTTCTTGTGGTTGTTTTGCTATTTTCCTGTATATCAAATAAATCATATCAAAATGAATATTTTTGTCTTTTATCTTTTTGATCTGAATATAAAATGCACAAGTATGGTCATAAAACCTTTCTTAAACAGTGCTCAGTTTCAACAGTTATTCTTAGCTTTAACACATATTTTGGACTGGGTTGGGCTAATAAAATATATTCAAAGGGAAATAATGATACTATATTGAATATCATTGATATTTTAAAACGAATTTCAATTTATATTAGAACTTAGGAGTTGAGCAAAAAGAAATGTTTTATGGGCCTAGAAGGAAACGGGGTGTATAATAAATAAGCTTCTGGTTGAAGTTGAATATAGATGAGAAGAAGGCTGTCTGAATTTATGAACTCATTGTTTCTAATGCTAGGATCCAACTGTCGTGCGATGCGTTACGATAGGTTTGTCCCTTGAGTCCAAGATTTGGTACGTGAAGATACGTTTCCATACGATCAACACGATTGCCACGACCGAGCTCGATATATGACAAGACTTAACAGGAACACCATGATTACGAAACCATTAAAATCACGATTTCAATCGTAGCGAGAATCGTGATAGTGGGAACCTAGCATTACCTGTAAGAGCCTGGTGAGTTTGGAGAGGACATAAATGAAATGCTCGAAAAAAAACCCGTTGCAAAGTACGGTCTCCAGGGGTATGGCGGTCCTCCCCCAGAATTCTTTTTAATTGAGCAGCAGATGCGTTTTCCTGACTTTCCGGTCTGTGAGTACAGGAAGTAGAAAGAAGTCCAACATAATACATGTCTACGTACATGTCGTTACAACCGAAATCCCACACTCAGGCACTCGATCTGTGGCTACCTGAATTCCGGATTTTGTGGGAAAAGCTCACCATGTGGAGTATGGGGAGAAATTTATGAAATTTAGATCTCTGCAAACGTTGTTTCCTGCTATATCTGCCTGAAAATAAACTTATTAGATAGATCTTCTTGGATTGGAATTTAGTAATTGAACATATTAACACAAGGTAAAATTTTATGGATACACAATTAGGCCTACTGAGTTTTGTTTAACACTAAACGACGTTTTGACGAGGATACTCTCGTCTTTATTATTATTATTATTATTATTGTTCGATTTATATAGCGCTTCATTACACGTGAAGTGTTTCTAAGCGCATATCACAAACATATACTTCAAACACACAGAAACAATCAAAATCAGGAGAACATAATTAAACACAGCTGCCTGTTAGGCGCTATTATTCAAAGGTTTATATCCAACAAATCAACCGGCTAATCTCAATATTGAACTCAGTCGAGGTATTACCTGATGAACACCTACACCAAGTAGAGTTCAAAAATAAAAACGAAGTTTAAAAGAATCAACTTCATTAACAAAAATTAAACAATCATAAACTAAACAGATAAATCAAATTCAAACGAAACAAATAAAACAAAGAAAATGAAAAGAGCAGTTCGTTACCATTCTACATTAACAAAATAAAGGAAATCAACTTGTGAAAATTTTTTCAAAAAATAAGAGCAAAGTAACACTAATGTTAATAATTATCAAAAGGAACCAAGATCTTAATGATAAAAAAATATATTTAAAGTTTCATCCAAATTGGATAAAAACTGTGGTCTCTAGAGGGTCCACAACCTTGATATCTATCTATTTCTTAATTAATTACAGGTATGTAAATTATTGTACCGGTAACCTAAATTTTATGAATATTGTTGTGATGTTATGACGATGTGCAATGCATATTGATATTGTGTTTACCTGTTTAAGATGAGTCAATAAAAATCTTTTCTTAAATATTTCAAGCAAATGATACAGATATGTGAATAGTAGGCAAATATATACAGAATATGCAACAAAAATAACAATCAAATACAATTAAAACTTAACATCTTTGATTAGGGGACCATTTACTAAACCAACACGGCGGAAACTCTTACAGACATTAAAAGGGAGGAATCCTATTATTTATAAAGATTAATGTTTTAACACTATTAATGGGAAACCGATTAAATTGAGCTACAGATAAACAATAATTTAAAGAGAACGTGTGCCGGGGACGAGTGGACACTGATGCAAGGGGAACCGTAAATATACTAATTCAATAACTGAGAATCATGAAAGATAAAACTTATTATTAGACTATAAAACAGGACGAGGGGTACTGTAAATATATTAATTCAATAAACTGAAAATGAAGAAATGAGAAATATATTATCAGACTGTAAAACTGGATAAGTACTGAAAATCAAGATATGTCATATATATTATTAGACACTAAAACTGGATAAACACTGAAATAGAACAAACGTATAAGAATTAATGTATACGTTGGCCATAAGCCCTTAGTATAACTAGGGCTTGATACGTTTTATATTGATGGCCCAAGAAGAAGTTTGCTGGTTTTCGTCTGGTGATGATTTACTACAAGGGTTCTTGATTGGTCCCATAGAATTGTAGGATGTCCGTTGTTAATAATATAATCTCTGCTACGGCTGAAGGATTGGTGAATGCTAGTGACCTGTGCTCTTTTATTCGTACGTCAAGTGGACGCTTCGTTTCACCTACATACTTCTCGTTGCACGAGCAAGTTATTTCGTATATAATACATCCTTTGGGCCGTGGAGAGTTGGTACGTTGTGTTTTACCATTAGCTTTTAAGAAATCCCGAATGGTTCTGCCGCCCATGCGCTTCTTGTTTCATAAACCTTTTAATCTGGTAAGAAATTTTGCCGTGAAACGGGATGGTTAGTCTGATACCGGAGTGGTTAGTATTTCGCGTTCCGGGCTTTGTTGATTCTCTGTTGTGGTGGTGATGACATCATTAACCATTTGGGTGTGGTAACTGTTATTGTTTATGAATACGTTCTTTAAATACTCTAATTCCGCGGGTAAATTTTCTTCGTCACATATCTCGGTGGCGCGTCTGGTTAAAGTGGTGAGCATGTATTTTTTGATTTGAATTAAAGAGAATGTATCGGTCAGTGTGAGCTGATTTCCTATACACAGTTGTAAATAATTTGTTGCCAGTTATAGTCATAAAGACATAAAGAAATGGAAGACTGTCATTCGTTTCGGTTTTCATTGTGAATTTATCCTAGTTTGTCGACTGTTTAGATGCTGTCACGGGCTTGTAATGTTTCATAATGTGAGCGATTTAACCACTGAAGAACCACTGTCCAATTAAAATTCCCTACCTGTATCGAAACGGCTATTTTCCAGTGTTGAGTTCATGAAAGCTTTGCCATAAAGAATTGTATGATTTGAATCAGCTTCCCGCAGTCTTTTTTATCATTTGAGATTGCTATAAGTAAAATCAAGATGTCGACCTTGTTTTTTGTCAGTTCAAACAACGGTTCCAATTTGTACTTAACCCGACAGGAAAGGGTTCTAAATATCATCTTGGGTGATGTAATTTTCAAACTTGTCGGGGTGGGACCCTCCGTCAGAGGGATCCACCAGCGCAGAATCTTGACGATTTGGATCAGTAACTACACCAAGAATGAAACATACCATCCCAGGCTCATATCCAACTTCTCATTTAGTCGATGGGGATGAAAGTTTAACAGGTGACCGAGGCTGCCTTAGGCTCGCGCAGGCTACATCAGATATTGCCATTTCTTCACTGTTTTGGCGAAACTCTATGGACAACCTGAAGATGCAATGAAATGAGCCGAAATGTAGTAGGCCTAGCCCCAAATACCTAGTACCAGCCATAGTTGGTTGATCTTGGTTTCACCCATATTCCTCCTCCAATTTTGAAGTCGAAAGGATCACACAAAGTCTTTTACTTAAACGTGAGTTTTTGTCTTTCTACGCTGGTTTAGTGTTTCGATCCTTTCTGAGACAGTCCTAGAAGATTAAATAACTTTCAAAGCGTAAAATAGATATCCCGGAATTTTAACAGGGGATCGATTGAGGGTCTGGGGTGAGAAAAACGTGATAAAAAACTTTATGAAACAAAATGCTCATTTAGGTGCATGTTTCATGTACAGGTTTAGAGTGGAGGCCAAAACGATGGCAATGCTTAGCACGGCTGTTTGTTCAACGTTATTTCACCGTTATGTATAATAATATATACAGATCCTGTAGATCTATTTCAATGCTTTGACCTTATATAATTGTGGCTGAGGTGCACATGAACAGCACACGATCGTGGTGGACATTTAAGCCCTCTGAGGTTCTCCCAATTAGTTGTATGTACTTGCAACTATACGTGCATATCATATAGGCCACATTTCCAGATGCACAAAATCGAATCGGACCGCAAGGGCAACATGCCCTACTATGGCAAACTGGTTTAGTCTGGTTGTGATAGAAATAATTATTATACTAGTCGAGAATAGTCTCGATTTACAGGGTTTGTTAAAACAACTAAAAATAGATATTACTTATTGAGTGCTTCAAGGGTGAACTGGTTGAATACGTTTTGTAGGAAAAAGCAATTCCGATGGTTTAACCGTAAACATTCTTGCTTTCAATTTAAAATACTTTCATATTCACCCAGAAAAGGATTGTAATGCAATTGTGTGTCGACCCATTCCAATTTTCACTGAAGTATCCCTAATTGACCCTGGTTATATTAGCGCAGAGGTCGTATTATAGGACAAGATTACGTCATTTTTACCAGGCTTATTTTGAGTGGCCGTATTATGTCACGAGACCCATTTATTTTATTATTTCGGAATATAAAAGGCTAAATATTCCACCTCGGAATCATAATTTTTACGCTTGTATCCGACACAGCATTATAGATTACCTGATTACGAACCAGAACAGATCGCTGTCTATTACATTTTTCGGAAAATAAAATGTCGCTTACAGTGAAAGCGTATTTTCAGAAGAAGCCAGACGATAGTCTAGAAATTCGCCGGTTCATCATACCGGTGGATGCTTCTTCAAGCTATGAATATATTCTCAAGAAAGTTTCTGAAGTTTTCCGGGATTTGAGCCTGGGGAATATTAATCTTTGTTGGAGAGGTAAATATTTGTATTATTATTTGTTAGAAACGAATGAATGGTAGGCCAATTTATAAATACATGTTTGTGTAGAGGCTACCGGGCGGTCGGCTATTCCCCCCATGCACACACCAATGTTTAGGATTTCCTTTCTGTTATTAAAGATAAAAAAAAAAAAATAATGATCAAGCCAAATAATATAATAAAATATCTCAACGTTTTATTGACGTACTTGTAGCTGCTAAACGGCTTCATTTTAGGTCAAAATATGGAACTCCCTATACATGTTCGTGTTGTATAAACCAACGGTATCCGGCCTAGTGTTATGGATTTTTTTTTCCTTTCTGTAATTAAAGATATTAATCAAGCCAATTTTATTAAATCAATCGATATTAAAATATCTCAACGTTTTTAGTGACGTCTTTGTAGCTGATAAATGGCCGCTTTACTTTAGTTCCAAAATTGGGACTTCCTAATCTAAATGACGAATGACGAGAAATTTCAAAATAAAAATGGCTCACTACATCAATGATAAAAAGAGTGAAAGGTCCATTAGATGAATAACAGGTGTATTCAACGGATGACTGATGGGTGATTAGAGACTTTTGGCAAGCGTAAATTCATGGTCCGTATCACGTCTCCGTGTCGGTTTTGCGTGTGACGTCATCAATGTGTGTGTATTTCTCATACGTGTCACGGCACACGGATACGGCAGCACGCATCGATCAGCTTTCATACGGAAAAGGTGTGTACAACATCGTCGTCTTTTTCCCTTTTTTTAGACGCTGAAATGTTGTGCCATAGCGTTTTTATGAATCTATGTGTATCCTAAAACATGAAGGTGTATATTTGATGTGATTTTAACAATAATAAAGAATGAAATTTAATCATTATTTTAGACGAGTGTTACTCGGAATTTTCATACTTTTCCTGTCTGTCTGTCTGAATGCCTGTTGATCTACGTACCAAATTTAGGGAGGTGGCCCCTTGCAAAACTGTAAATGATGTGATTCTATGGTAAAGGGGGTATAAAATTTCTGAAATCATACATTAGTGAAACCAAAAATTGCTGTCGAGGCGAAGTCGAAGATTTTTAATAAGATCCTACATTAATTTCTTTTTAATAGCTCAGCGATTGTCGAGCGACTTCACCCCCCCCCCCCCAGTAATTTGTAGGCTAGGCACTTGACTGGTACTGATGGTGATCATGCTGTAATAGAACTAAGCTCAACTCAGCTACTCATACGTTATACGCAGCGCGATAATTTGCCAAAACTATAAAACTACATTGACGCAACGTATCACGTGACGATACGGATACGTGATACGGATGGGGAAAATTCTGCTTGCCAAAAGTCTCTAATGACACACAGTGACGGACGCAGGGTATTTCGTTAGGAAGGGGGGGGGGGTAAGGTCCTCCTCCGAGAAAAATGCGAAAATCTTGTTGTCATTGTCATTTAGACCCGAATGTCACATTCAATTTCATCACCCCAACGAACAAAATGCTCAAATTTACACGTTACATAGAAACAGAATAATAAAATAAATATTTTATACGGCTATTTAGAGGGGCCACTGATGACAAAGTCGATTATTAAAATAACTCAACTTAAAGGCCTATCAGATTCATCGATTAGCTTTCCAGCTAAAATGTCTACCAGTTGTCAAGGTTTCCGTGGAGGTCGCCATGTTTGGTTTGAGGTTTTTTTTTGTTTTTTTTTGTGTGTCACAACCTCTGGACGCTACTGTTCACGTGTCTACGGTAAAGGGAGATAACGTAGCTATAAGTTCGGGAATTGGAAAGCAGTGTAGCAACGTCTAGATGTTGTAAAACTCACGGTCGTTGTAACTTGCTACAGGAAGATGAGGGACCCCCCCCCCTCTTCCGCCATTAAAGGGATTGTGTGGGGGGGAGCTATTTAACGAATGACAAAATGAATGACATGGCTCACTATGCAAATGCATATGTTCAGTAGACGACTGCTAGATAAAAAGTTATTTTTTTCTGGATTGTTATGTTAACTAATTTGTTAAATTGGATTTGTTTGAGATATTTATAATTTATACTTCGTTGATGCAGAAGATTGGGGGTGACCATCGTCATAGTATGAAATACTGATACAGGCAGTAAAATGTAATTCAAATGTAACTGACCATTAAATGTTTTTGGAACTAATTAATTAAATTTCCATTATGCTTCTCACATTACTCATTGCATGACCACTCCTTAAAACATCTAATGATTCCATGACATGGCATGACCATTACTTCAAAACATGTAATGATTCCATGACATGGCATGACCATTACTTCAAAACATGTAATGATTCCATGACATGGCATGACCATTACTTCAAAACATGTAATGATTATATTCCATGACATGATCATTACTTCAAAACATTTAATGATTATATTCCATGACATGATCATTACTTCAAAACATGTAATGATTATATTCCATGGCTGGATCATTACTTCAAAACATGTAATGATTACATTCCATGGCATTATATGACCTTTACCCAGGTCCTGCTATCCTCAACTTGATTAAATCAACACTTTTATTTTTTCCTCGAATCAAAGAAGTCTTCTGATTTTAAATCAATTATGTATGTAATCTGTATTTATCATAATTTTCTTAATTTCTCAGATCCTGAACATGAACTGGTTGCCTTTTCAACTGATGAAGAATTACTGGAAGCTCTAAGCTACGTGGAAAATGGAATATTGAAGATTTTTGTAAAGGAGAAAAAGACTGGCAAGTTTATATTATAAACATCTGGCAGATGTCTGATGAAATAATAATATCAGAATGTGTTTATATTTTGCCTAATTAATCTACATTATTTAAATACCTCGGCTGTGAAAAAATAGCAGAATGATTTAATTGGCTTTCTATTATGAATTACCGAAAAATTTAAAACAAGACAAATTGTGGCATACACTGCATAATTTTGTTTTTCTGATAGAAGAATGTCCTGAGCCATCTGGAGAACTTCATCCCCATGTTGTCTGTGATGGATGTAATGGTGCCGTCTACGGTATCAGATACAAGTGCTGTATCTGTCCCGATTACGAGATGTGCTCCACCTGTGAAGAAAAGGGTCTACATATCGAACATGACATGCTGAAAATCGCTCCACCAAAGTCCCAACAGAATATTGTAAGTACAAGTCATATATTCTGAAGGATTTCTTTTAAAAAATCATGATAGTTCGCCATTTTATATTCTAATAGTCTGTAGTAAAAGCAAGATTTATATTATAAAACACAATTGGAGTATTATGTTAAATTTGTAAAATAAAATTGCCTTCGATATTTTCAAATAAGTCTGTTCCGCCTGTTATTATATTTCGGAAAGGTTTTAGTGATTCGATGATACTTAAGTTTTTTAAAACTCTTGATTAGTTTAATGCATTAATTGAGTTTCAAAAGACATTGTATAAATATTTTAATATTCATGATTTGTGGTAATATTTTGTCCTATCTTTAAAATTGCTTTATTCAAACTGAATAAAATGGATTTTAAAATATTATATAAAATTGAATGCTAAAAAGACTTCTTTTCACCCAATTTTACAGCCCTTCGTACCCCAACCACACTTCCGTCGATGGATGAGAAGATTTATGAAAAACTGGTATAGCAAACATCCTGAGGGGTGTCTTTTTGGAAACGATGGCAAACACCCCGAGGGATGTCTTTTTGGAACCGATGGTAAACACCCTAAGGGATCTCGAGGGACAAAAAAGCCCCCCGAGGGGTGTCTTTTCGGAACCGATGGCAAACACCCCGAGGGATGTCTTTTCGGAACCGATGGCAAACACCTTGAAGGATGTCTTTTTGGAACCGATGGCGAACAACCCGAGGGATGTCATTTTGGGACCGACGGCAAACACCCCAAAGGATGTCATTTTGAAACCGACAGCAAACACCCCAAGGGATGTCTTTTTGGAACCGATGGCAAACACCCCGAGGGATGTCTTTTTGGAACCGACGGCAAACACCCTGAGGGATGTCATTTTGGAACCGACGGCAAACACCCCAAGGGATGTCATTTTGGGGCCGATGGCAAACACCCCGAGGGATGCCTTTTTGGAACCAACGGTAAACACCCCGAGAGTTGTCTTTTTGGGACCGATGGCAAACACCCTGAGAGATGTCTTTTTGGAATCGACGGTAAACACCCTAAGGGAACTCTAGGGAAGAAAAACCACCCCGAGGGATGTCTTTTTGGAACCGATGGCAAACACCCCGAAGGATGTCTTTTTGGAACCGATGGCAAACACCCTGAGGGATGCCTTTTTGGAACCAACGGTAAACAGCCCGAGGGATGTCTTTTTGGAACTGATGGCAATCACCCCGAAGGATGTCTTTTTGGAACCGATGGCAAACCCCCCGAGGGATGTCTTTTCGGAACCGATGGCAAAAACCCCGAGGGATGTCTTTTCGGAACCGATGGCAAACACCCTGAAGGATGTCATTTTGGAACCGACGGCAAACACCCCAAAGGATGTCATTTTGGAACCGACAGCAAACACCCCAAGGGATGTCTTTTTGGAACCGATGGCAAACACCCCGAGGGATGTCTTTTTGAAACCGATGGCAAACGCCCCAATCGATGTCATTTTGGAACCGACAGCAAACACCCCGAGGGATGTCTTTTTGGAACCGACGGCAAATACACCGAGGAGGGATGTCTTTTTGGAACCGACGGCAGGTACACCGAGGGATGTGGTTTTGATACTATTGATGGCAAACACCCCGACGGATGTCAAGGGCAGAGCAAACACCCCGAGGGGTGTTATTTTGGAACCGATGACAAACACCCCAAGGGATGTCATTCTGGAACCAACAGCAAACACCCCGAGGAATGTCTTTTTGGAACTATCGACGACCAACACCCTGCGAGATGTCAGGGAAAGAATAACCACAACCACTCGGGGGAATGTCGTTTTGGAACTAAAGACGGCAAACACTCAGAGGAATGTCGATTTGTAACAGAGACAGAAAAAACAGCTGTAGGCCCAGCTAAAGAACCATGGGAGACAACTCAAGATGAAGGCAAGGAAGAAGACACACCCGAAGAAGAAGAATATTGGGATCATTTTGGTGAGTTCAACAGGGCCAGTTTACAGGCATTTAATTGGTCGGTGTGAATGCTGAGAGATCTATTATGCGCCCTTGTAAATCATAAGGCCACTTAAGGCCAGTGATGAAATTTATCACGCTCTTATTTTACCCCCCCCCCCCCCCGCCCCCATTTAGCTCAGTGATCATTTGACGAAATAAAAACGGAAAAACAAAATCTACGTCTGAGAATTTTTTTTTATTTATGTGGCCTTAAAATATAAGCTTACCCTAACTCCTAAGGTCTTATTTACTGTACTGTTTACTTACCCTTCAAGTGGTGGGCATACTTATGATTTGTTAATTTATCAGAAGCTTCAACTTTTGGTCTTGTATTACAGGAATCGACGTAACCTTTGAAACAGGTCATCGTGGAAAAGGTAAACGTTTCCCGGGTAGATGCGGTCGTCACGGAGTTCATGACCTTCATGGATACGGACCACATGGACACCATGGACCAAACGGAGCTTTTGGCCATCATCTATTCCCAGGCTGTCATGGATTCAATCGTTTCCCAGGGGCCACAATTAGACGTGGAAAGGTTTGTAAAGGAAATGGTAAACCTGGATGCCAAGTCTTCTCTGGAACTGGACATCAACCGAATACTGAAAGTGGAGAAAGTTCTGATGAATCCGCTGAGGGTCAAACTTTCAACCAAAACCAAACCTCAAGTGACGAGAACCAACAAACAAAGGAGAAGGTGAGTTGAGATTTGTAGTTTTAAATTCATATTTAGAGAATTTAATTGGTAATCTCTTGTGTTACTGGTATTCTTATTCAACTTCTAAATTCTTAAAATTATCTTTATGGGAAGAAAATAAAACCCGAACAGTTTTGTGACTTTTAATCTAATTGCTACGGAATAAGGGTTAAGAGAAACTGTTAATGTGTTCATGGAGAATTGATACCAGCTACTGCATGTTATATAGCTAACCCCTGATATACTTTGATATGGTTGAATATTTTATAATCTATTTTTTTGTAGACGACTGGCGATTTAAGCCCGGAAAGAGACACTGAATGGATGGTATTGGACAAGAATGGATCAGTGATCCCACCAACCAGTGACCTGTCCAATCAGACAACCATCACTATTATTGGTGGATCTGCTCCAGTCATTCCCCCGACCACTACCGGATCAACAACACCAGCTGCTACGACTACAGCTCCAAAACCCAAACAGGTGGCAAGACATTCTGGTGTGTATTTAAAGCTTTAATCACCCTATTCGATCCTACAACCGTACTAGACAAGAAGTAGGGTCGTCTTCTCACAGCATTTGCATATCGACTTGAAATAGTGTATTACCCCTATGTAAGGTCCAAAAGAATTCCATGTGTTCAGTGGATGCTAAAAATCCACTTTATACTACCTGCAAATTAATTTGTGCTCCACTTGATAGTAAAGTTTCTTGGTAGATCAGATTGATAAGTTGCTTGCTTAAATAGTGTCGATTCGTCTTCCAATCTGACTCTGAAACAATGTGAATTAATACACTGATGATAGATATGGTCTCGTGTGGATTACGCATGTATACAAACTGATTAATATTAGATTTTATTTTCATTCCAAATATTCCGTTGATCACTCCATTAAATACTTAAATATATTTACAAGAAATGCAAGTTGTGGGCCATTGATGGCGGCATAATAATATAGTTGACCTTGATAAGGCAATCAATTAAATGTCGAGATGAGTAGTTTTTGATTGTTAGGTTGATCTGAAGTCCCCTAAAACAATGTCTTTAGAGTATCGAGTGAAATGTCGGTATAGTTTTATTTAGAATGTCTTGTACTGAAGTGACTTTGGCTAACAGGCCTACGGTTTATTGTTATATTTACTTTATTACGTTGCTTTTTACAGATCCAAGAATTGCTGGAGCTATAGATCAGATGCTGTCAATGGGATTTGACAATGAATCTGGCTGGTTGACTCATCTACTGGAAGCAAAAGGAGGAGATATCAGTCAGGCTCTGGATTCTATTAGACCTGATCGTAGAGATGGAGGTCACATGGCTTAAAGCAACCAAAAGAACCATTAAAAGAAAGACCAACCAATGACGATTGCCCTTATTTATCAACTTATTTTATTGTAGGGCTCTGATTTATATATCTTTAGTGCTTAATTATATGTAACCTTAATTGTTTTTGATATCAAGTATTCTTTAAACCAGGATTTCAAAACAAAATCTAAAAATAATGTCAGTTATTTGAAATTGGTTAATTAATTTAAATTGTTTACTTATTTCAAATTAGTTATTTTTTTTTTTTAAATTGCTTACTTATTTGAAATGTGTTAATTATTTGAAATAGGTTAATTATTTGAAATCGGTTAATTATTTGAAATTGGTTAATTTGAAATTGATTAATTAAATGAAATGGTAAAAACAATTATTTTGAATTTGGATCAGACTATAAATGTTTTTCATAAGACAAAGTTGTTGAAATTATGTATTAAAATGGTTACGATTACACCACCCTGTTAATTTTAAGGAGATAATTTAAAGGTTTTATCAAATTTATACCATGGTTTCTTATGGCTGTTTTGCTAGTTTCCCACATATCCAATAAATCACACGTGTAAATGAATATATATTGTTTTATCTTTTTGATTAGAATATAAAATGGAACAAATATGGATATTGTAAACTCAATATCAATAAATAGTCAAATTTGGGACTCGGCCAACAAGAGTCTTAACACCATTTTGGACTGTGTTTTGGTCCAATAATTCTAAAAGAAAAAAATGGTATCATTTTGAAAACCAATTCTTTTTGGTTGAATTTTTAAACGAGATTCAGAAGATTTGTGGTCTTGGAATAAAACAAGATGATTGCTAAGTAAGCTTCTGTTTGGAATCGAATATGGATCTTGCATTGCATCGAACACTGTGAGAATAACGGTGTCTGACTTTATCAAATTATTGTGTTTCTTAATAACGTGGCATTTCCAGACCCAAAAATCACATTTGATTGGCTAAGCTGAAAACAACTGACTAATCATTAAGCAGACGTACGCAGATATTCTCGGTGTACCAGGCTAACCTTTGTGTCGTGCTTTTGAACAAATGTACATAATAATATCGTTTCATTAACTTTGGTTTATGTACCCCACCCCAGGTTTGAAGAAATACGAGATGTTAGGATTTGGGTCGAATTTATAAAATTTTAATCAGCATTTGCTATTTCTGTGATCCCGTAAGCAAACATGTAATTTTTTTTAATTTCCCTCTTTATCTCCTACAGCCTGATTTGCTTTCCTAGTAAAAGACTCCCATTTAACGCCACAGTATATTATAAGCCTATCCTATTGCTCAGCGAATTCTTGACTATGGTGCCGCACGTTGTGCTAAAGACGCTTTACTTGCACTTTTTATATTATTATCTATGGACACAAGGGATCTCACAGATTTGATTTCGTCTACATAGAAGATAAATTGAATAAAACTTGAGGACGAACAACTTACTTCACTCCGCATTATTATTTGTGGACACAAAGAATCTCATAGGTTTGACTTCGTCTATAACAGATGTAAAATTGAATAAAACTCCAGAATTGGCTGTATCTCGGTCTGCAATCAAATGTTATAAAATAAAACATGTGTAGTGGGTAATACCCCCCCCCCCCCACTCCACTAACCCTATCAAACTTTTAAGATCAGCGCAAGCCCACGAAAGGAAATGTGCCACCCAACCCTCCCCACCCGACGCCTTCCCGACCATATTGTTTGAGAAAGTTTCCCGAATTATTCAGCCTAGACGTACCCATTGTCGGTGGAAATGAAATGGGGTTTAACGTCCTACTGTTCTGCACCGATCGAACCCGGGACCTCCAGGTTAGCAAGCCAACTTCTTACTTTATGGGTAGTATAGGATTTGGGGGGCCTGACAAAGAAAAGTGTCTAGGCTTTCGGAAGAAACGATGAACCTAGGTCTCGTATACCATTGGCATTACGTTAAACAAGAATAAGACATAACACTGCTATTCTGGCAAAATATCCCTCATTAACATGTATCTGCCTAATACGGATGTTTCGTTTGGCCTCAAATGTTATATAAATCATTAATGGGGCATTTATTCACATGCCAAGTGCACAATCAACTCTCTAGATCATCGGATGGTTTTGTTTTTCAATGGATTTAAACACGATTGCCAGTTAATAATTTAATTTAAAAATGGATAATTTTGTTTATTATCGTAACAACGGTAGCAATGACATTCGAGACTACAGTGTTCTTCAAACGGCCACAACTCAGCTCAGAATGAAATAAATTGACTGAAATTTTCAACATTATATTCTCTTTTCATTATTTATTGTTTAACTTATAGCGAGAACCGTTTAAGCTCTTTATTTATATCTTACATGATGCATCTTAAAACAGGACGGTACAGAAACGTAAGACCCGAAACCCTATTTCATTTCAATTTTTCTAGAACACCTGATACCACTTTTCATTTATGTGGGAAGTTCACCATCCACATAGCTAGGACTTCTTGCCGTAATATTGTATCTGCACGATGTATAGACAGTTATCGTTGTATTATAAGTATTGTGAGTGATTCCCCAAGAATTATCAGCGGGTAAAACCAAATCTATTTATAGATGTTACATGACTATGTACAAAGATAATAAGACGGAAATATTTCAACAAGGTGTCAAAGTACCTTCTTTTGTTGTTAGTTGCAGTCCTTATTTCCAAGTGCTGAAATGGGGCCTTGTTGATCAGTCTGTAAGTATTTTAATCAAGTTAGATTAGGTATATTGGGGTTCCGCAGGGCTGGAAATCTTCTATTCCAGCTGGGGGCCGTTTCACGAAGCAAAATTGAATAATGAATTGTTTAATTTTAGTTTAACTCTGATTTGTGCATTAGGAAATGTGACTCATAAAGTTTCATGCTAAGACATACATTTCCTAAGTAAAAAGGAGGGTGCTCGGCCTTTCGTGTTACCTTTCGCCGTAGATGTGTGGAGTTGGGTGGTCTAGTGGTCTGACGAGTGCGCTTTAGATCTCAGGGTCTGTCATTGAGTCAAGTGATCCCAAGCTTTACAAAGAGTGGGGTTGGCTGTCAACCTCATCGGTTTTCTCCCGTCCACTGCTTAAAACCCCTACTCGCAAGCAAATAATTAAAATAAGATTATACCATATTTTAGTCCCGAAATTACTTGGTTAATTGTCTCGGGTGAACGTTATATAAACTCCATTTCGCTCTCTCGTCGCTGACGGTGTTGCGCTCCACATTTTCCCCCAACCCGATATAAGTGTTTACCCATACAAATTATCAACTGTATACTGTAGGCTATTGTGATCTTCACCAAAGGCATAAATCAACAATTGGAATAGGGTTATAAACCCCGGCGGTTTGTCGGTATGTATTGCACATATAGTCGACGAAATATCGAGGTCAATCTGTGTACTTGTATAATTTGGCTAGATCTATTTCTTTAGGCCATCTTCATATATAGTCAAGGTCACTGAGGTGTAAATAAGGTTAGTGCACGTGATTGTTGACGGGATTGTGGGGGATGGGGCTAGGTCCAGGGTTAGGTTTAAGGTTTTTGATAACGAAGGTGAAACTTGGCACTTAATTAAGTCAGGAATTAAAAACCGATCCCCGACAATCTACAAGTTTGAAACTTGTTAAGTGTATTAGGTCTATTCATTGTTTATTTTAGATGACGAAGTTGAAACTTGGCACTTATAGTCAAGAATCAAGAACCTACCCCTTTAGAAGAATCCACAAGACTAAAGCTACAGACTACATGTGTTTACATGTTCATCATGGAAGTTGTGAATTAAAGTACTGTATTGTAACAGCTCAAATTAGATATAGGCCTAACTTAAGTTTAAGAATCACCAGCTTCAACCTGCAAAAATGTCAACTTCCAGTATCACTTCCGGGGTCAATTGTTGCGGAATCTGTTTGGATGATTTTACTAAACCCAAAACGATCGATTGTTGCCACACCTTTTGTGAATATTGTCTGTTTGGTTATGTGGCTAAAGTTGTTAAAAACGGGATATTCCCTTGCCCGACATGCCGTCAGAATATTACACTCCCTTCAGACGGAGTTAAAGCTTTCCCAGCCAATGTACAGATGGGAAATTCGGCAGATGATTCTCAAAGTCAACAACATACGAAAGAAGAAGAATTACAAGCAGCCGCATCTGTGTGTCCACAACACAAGAAAGACAAAGATTTATATTGTAAAGATTGTAATCTTACACTTTGTTACAAATGTTTCATAACTGGTCATCAAGGCCATGTGTTAACAAATGTTGAAGATCTTGCTGATCCATTTCGACTGGAACTGCAACAAATGAAGAGCACCATTGGACAAAACATTGTACAAATCAACGAGAATAAAGGTTTAGTAATAAGTGCCATGTCGCAGTTAGTCGATTCCTCGGAGGCAGAGTGTAACAAGGTCGATCAGCAGGTAGACAAAATTTACCACGTTCTCAAGGGTGCGGGGGAAGAACTGAAAACGAAGATAAGAGAACAATGTACTGAAAAAACGTTGGCGTTAAACGGTGCGCTGGTTGACTTGGAAGACTTAGGCACTAAGCTGGAAGATCTTGAGAACGCGACGACCCGTGTGGAGAATTCCATGGTTCAAGAAATTCTTGACACCACTCCTATTATAAGACAGCAGATCGAAGATTATACAGGTGGGAGTTTTATCATACCAGATATAGATTGTCCAAATTTTGAAGAAGGTGAGATAGATAGCGACGACCTATCGGAACAACTAGGGAAGCTAATAGGCCTAACACCAAGTGATGACTCAGGAAGTGGTGAGTCTACTGAACTGGAGACAGACGGACCAGATGCTCATGATACTACCGAGAATGAACCAGAAGAGAGGACTGATTCAACTTCATCTATCCAGCTACTCCATTTGATACAATCGGATATGGTGTCGCAGGTTCAGTCAGATATGATGGCTCAGTTTCTGCGTACAGGTATACATTTCTAGTAATAACTTGTCCACGTGTCTGTAAAATGGAACTGTATAATACTACCTAATTGTACACCAGGCGTCGGTTGTCAGTCCTATACGAAAATTTAGACACATTTACCACGTATGTCCCGGAGAGGGTGGGGCGCTTAAAAGCTGAAGAGTTAACTTTTCAGATTCGAGCCCAGGAGATTCAAGTACTGCAAGAGAAACATGGGCGGAATATAGCAGCTGCTGTCCGCCGGTGTAGGCTCAACAAATTGGCATGCACGGAAAGGTTACTTTTAATGTGCAATTCGTAGATGAATAGACGGAGGTGGCGTTATCTGGGCAGAATTCTTCTCCCTTTCATTACACACGTTACCCAGAAACGTTGGTCTCAAAATGACCGTAGCATTGTTTTGACAAGACGTTAAATCTCAGATCATTCTATCAGAGCCGCCCAGTTGTGATACTGACCGCTAAGCATACACAAGCAGTGGGGGAAAAAACGCATCTCTTTGAAAGTGCTTCGTATCAGCCATAACAATTTTCAAGATATCATTTCAACCTAAAAGAATACCTAGGAATTTCAAACAGGCAGTAAGAATCAGAATGTTTCGCCAACTAATTGTTTGTAATTCTACGTTGACTCCACAGAAGCAAGGGTGTCCAAAGAATATGAATAATAAGGCAAACAATAATCTTTCACTTAATTGTTTTAATTTCATTTTATAGTTACTACACAGTGGCAAGAATGTCTAAAGAATATGAATTTAAAACACACAAGACAAATCATAATCTTTCACTAAATTGTTTTATTATATTTCATAGTTGTACCTGTGACGTCACAGAAACCAGAAGATCGCGGCGTGCTTCATCCTAACGTTCTATGTGATGGGTGTGAAGGCAAGGTCTATGGTGTAAGGTTTAAGTGTTGTGTTTGTCCGGACTATGACTTATGTTCATCTTGTGAAGGAACAGGTTTACATACCCAACATGATATGAGGCAGATTTTAACCCCTCAGGCCACGAAACGTTGATGCAAAATTAATGAGCACTGGGCACCGCGGCTCTTTCTTTGCAAAAGAACAACACAGATTTAATGTTATGAAAACAATTTCCTGTTTAAAGACGGTGTGAGTGAAATGTTTAGTTTAGTTATTCGAGACAATTTATTTTACATAAGGTAGACATATCACCAATTTCTGATCAGGGGTGTATCTAGATTTGGGTACCTGTATACATGTACATTTAAAATCAGGTTCGTTCAAATCCTGTAATAAGATAAGGCTCTTTTTTTTCTGACAATATCTAACTGGACCCTAAGCCTACTCATCTTCTTGTTAGAGAAGGCGACGCCACAGGCACTTGAAGGGATTAAAATAAAACTTCTTACTACTATTTGACTATATACTACAATAACAACAGTATATAGTCAAGCAGTATATAGTCAAATTGAACAACTAGGCCCCATTATTTCTTCCCAGGCAGTACAAATAAATTAAGAACCACCCACCAAATACATGTAATTTAGCCCCCAAAGGTTAAGCACCAGTTTTACTAATCAGAGAACCAAAAACCAACAAACAGATGTGACTGTGTTTATTATCAATATATCCTACATATTTACAATATTTGTAATTAAATAATTTTCAAAAAATAAATTATTGGTCTTTATACAAAATATCAGTGATTCTTTATAAATCCATATAAAAGATAAATAAATAACAGCAGTTTTCAACTAAGGTTGACTATACAGCTACTTTTGTGGTTTTTTTTGTAAAACTCAATGTAAATGGGGTGTTAATGGGAAGGGTCAGTCTGATGTTCATTGACTACATAGGAAATAGGAAATCATGACCAAAAGGAAGCTTCGGAAATAAGGAAGGAGTGTGCATATAAAATTAAATAGTTTTGGATTAAGGGTTGCCTCTGACTACACTCATACCACCTTTACAGGTGTTGCAACTGCCACTTTTAAACCCAACTTAAAGTGCAAGATTCTATATAGTGATATCCCCAAGTACAATTACAATCTAACTAAAATTAGATTACAATACGATGTGGTGATATCCTACTGCAATTACAATATAATTAATATCAGGTTACAGTCCTACACTGTGATATCCAAGTGCAATTACAATCTAATCAACATGAGATTATGCGGTGATACCTAAGTGTGATTACAATCTAATATTAGATTAGAAACATATACTGGGAAATGCAAGAATAATCATAATCTAAACCAAATTAGATTCTAATACCATACGGTGATATCCAAGTGGAATTACAATCTAATTAATATTAGATTACAATTCTGTATCATGATATTCAAGTGTAATTACAATATGTGGACCAGCATCTGTCTGATTGTGGATAGAAATCTCAGATTCCATTTATATAGATAAAGAACACAGGGTAATACTATCAACATTTGAAATGTCTTTTCTTTATGTACAAAATTGGAATAATTTAATCTTAAAATAAAATCAGTTTATAATATTCACAGCACAATAAAAGCAATCAATTAGTTAATGACACATTTTACAGCAGTTCTTGGGAAATTTTTCCCACAGCAGTATCAATATTAACTCTAATAATACCTGAATAGGGAGATTAATCCAGGAAGTAAACAAGTCGAGCAGTTAATCAGAAACCTAAAATATGTTTTGTAAAAATTTATGAGAGAACTGCCATCAATTTACCAAAGGTCTTGTGTATTTCATCCTGCTTTGATTATTGTTTGACAGAGTCCCTTGGAAATGTGAATATATGTCTTTTGGTAAGTCCTGTACAGAGAGGCCTCTTATTTTGGAGAAAGACATGACATGCTATTAAATTAGATATTACAAAAAAAATTAGCCTTTGATCTGTCTTGACAATCTGGGACAAAAATAATACAGGTAAAATTGACTCTGAGAACATTTTGAAGTGAGAGCTCTGTCTCTATGTCATGTATATTCATTATGAAAACTTGTTATAGGGAAACCAATGCAAGCCAGGAAGATGATTTAAAGAGGTTTTCAACGAACCAAAAATACCCACCCCTTTTATTTTACATTAATATCACAGCCATAAACCTGATAAATTCAAACAACAGCCTCAATAACAGTTCATAATGTTCATATATAATGGGGATACTCATTATGAACATTCCTGAAAGAATCACAAAATGCATGAATGGGGTTAGTTATTACAAATTCCACTCAAAAAAACTTTCTTTATTCTTGAACATTTATGAATATAAAGTCGCAAACATTCTTTAAGTTTTCAAGTTTTAATTCTCTTTTAATCAGTTGTGCTCATATCTGTTCCCTCTGTTGTCAAGGTGATATCAGTTACCCCCCTTTCTGTATTTGTTGCATCCAGGTTTGTCTCCCCTTGATCCTCGTCTTCTTCCTCTTCCTCCAGTATAGGCGTTCGTTCGGGTTCTTGAAGTTGTAAACCAGGAATCTCAATTAATTCCTCTGCTTCTGAAAGTTTAAAAATAAAAGAAATGGTGTTTTATAAATCGCATTGAAACACCATGCGGGTTGCTAAATTCTTAAAACCTCCCCCCCCCCTCTCTAAAATCAGTAAATAAGAGAAAAAAGAACTTTAACATCCACATAACACTAAACAGGTCATTCGGGACTAACATATATATTTTTATTTTAAAAACTTAAGCAGTCTTTAGAAAAGGGAGGGAACCAGAACCAGAATACATGCGGTTTCACTGGCACAATGGTTCATGAGGTTTGTCATTAAGTCAAGTGACATGATTTTGATCCCCCGCTTGTACGTGACAAGGTTTTTGTTGGGTCCTTTGGTTTCCTCCCACTGCTGAAGACTCCAACGCTCAAGCGAAATATAGAAATAAAATTGAACCATATGTTAGTCCCGAAATGACCCAGAATACATGCAAAAAAAACTCATAAGATTAGTCACAAGACCCGACTCCTTGTCACATAAAAACGCAGATTTAAACCCATGACTTGCACACAATACCATAACAATTTTCAAATCAAAATGAAAATATCAAATGGGGTTTAATGTCCTACTGCTTTGCACCGACTGGGCTACTGAGGATGGGCATACCCCATATACATGTACAACCTACTATGAGGGTAACAACACTACTCTTCTTTTAAACTCCAGCTGTCAAGGGTTCATTTACATGAACGCCAACATACAAACAGGACCATATTTTTTTTTGTCCCATAGAGTTTCATAGTCAAGTTTTCTGTTGGTAAAATAGGTCTAATATAAAATCCTTATGATAAAGACATGTATTTGTAATTTTATGAAATACATGTAAATTAAGATAAGTGTTGTGTACCTGGATCTGGCATTGGTTTATCAAATTCATCTGTTCTAGCGCTCTTCCACTCGGTTAATCTTTCAATACTGGGCTGGTTAGTCTGGACTAGATGTTTTCCAAACCCGGACATCATACGATGAGCTAAAGCAATACCATATTGTACTCTGTTCACATGTATAGCCGAAGTTTGACCCAGAGATCTCGAGATGTTATACGCTTTACTGAAATACTCAGAGGCTTCTTCATACTGACCCTGGAAAAATAAAATAAATGAGGTTTAATGTCCATAATTTCTGCCCTGACTGTCAAAATAAACAGGTAGTCCTGAAACTGACATAAAGTGTATGTATAGCTGTGGGAGGGATTGGAAAAGTAACAAATGAAATGGGGGTTTAAAGTGGAATTATGTCAGATTTAGACACAGAGATGACAATATCTTGCTATAAAATCTAAAAATTAGATAATAAAAGGGAATATGTTCAAAATTTTAGTCAAATAACTTTACTCTGAGCCGAGTTATCGCCGTCAGAAGAGCAGTGTAGCCTCAATTGTCATTGCCACTGTTGTTACAGTAATAAACAAAGTCTTGATTATCCATCGTTAAATTAAATTATTAACTGTCCATCAGATTTCAATTTGTTGAAAATCTTGAGTATCCGATGGTAAGTTAATAAATGTCTAATTAATAATTTATATAACATTTTAGGCATAAAGACCTGAAACAGGCAGATTTAGCTCTTGAATAATACCCCTTTAATGTCTTGCTGTTCTGCATTCCCTGGTTTATTGAAGACAGCAATACGCCATGCAGTGTGCTTTGAGAAGAATTTTGACAGGCCAGCAGCATTTATGCCTACTCTTCATCAAATTTCAACTATCAAGGTTTTTTTCAAGTGCATACCAAGGAGTACACAGGACCTCTGTTTTTTTTCCCCATCAAAATGACTAGATAGTGTCCTGGCCAGGTCTTGCACCACTGACCAGAAAACAAGTGATTGACAAGACAAAAATTATAAGATAACCCGAACCCCTACACAATAATAAAATATACTAACCAGTTTATTATAGAGATTACCCAGATTATGACAAGCTTTACTATATTCAGCTTCTTTACCACTTCTCTCAGCCATTTCAACAAACTGTTTTAAATAACTAATACTTTCATTTACTTCTCCTTTTCTACAAAAATAAATATACAAAACTTGGGACTTTCAATAGTGAGATATGTAGGATATAAAGGAATCAGCAATCCTCAAATTTTCACAGATTACCATTATGCTAAAAATATGATGCACTGGAACCCACTATCTCTATGTTTCTCTTTATATTATGTACTTTTGCAGAGACAATAAAATAGGGCTGAAAAGAAAATTCTCTAGGCTTTGAATAACTTAACATCACAAAATCAAAGAGCCACATAGAAAACTTTACATCTAATTGTTATTTGAAAAAAAAAGAGCTTTTTTAAAATTCTTATCAGCTGCGGAATGGAATAGAAATTAAAACAAACCTAGCATAGGCTTTAGCGATAGCATCACAAGCTCTCCCAACACCATCATCATCTTCTGCACATTTACATGCTTCCAGAAAATGTGTTAAATGCTGAAATCACATTTAATAGTGTTTCGTGTAATTATTTTAAATAAATATAACTCCATTAATGCCATATAAAAAAAAGTTGGTTTTCATTTATTTTTGTTTTTTGAAGCCTATTTTCATTTGTGAGAGAGAGAGAGATGGACACAAACTATGTCATTAATTTACTTGTGCATCGGGGTCTTTAATTAACAGTGGGATGAAACCCACAATTATGGACAGGCAAACCTACACAAACCACTTGACAGATCTTATGACTTAAAGCACACCCCTTTTTTATTTGTATGAAGAAGATCAAATTATTTTTGTGGAAAGAAAATTCTTACAAATCTTAAATCAATTTTGTCAGTTCTTATGGCCATTAAAATCAAAACCATGTCATTTAATTTTCACGATCACCAGTCCACGAATAAATTCTTCTGAACCCTTTGCATCTACATGTGACAGTGCAATCACTAAATTATTTTTCATATTAAATATTATAGATGGTTTAAGAAATAGCCTATAGATGGTTTAAGAATTGTCTATTATTGGCTTCTGAATATAAATTCTAGAATAATTACCAATAATGCTGTTTCGCCATCACCATTTTTCTCGTAAGCTAAACCAAGTTTATATGCTGCTTCACCTTCTAATAATCTATCGTTACCTGTTGAACAATATAATATAATCATACTTCATATACAAAACAAAATATAAAGTTGACTTGTTAAAATTCACTACATCTGGACTTCTGCAAAATTCAGATCATACTTTTTCATTGTAACCCTGGCCTATTTATTGTGTTTTTAGATGGATTTGACAGACATAGTACCGCCGACTTGTGGAGAAAACACACTTCAATGACAACGTCCGGATTAGATCCATAATCGTCTGTGTTCATCTCTTGCCTTGTGTAATGTATGCAGGGCTGACATAGAAAGTGCGCCTTGTCGTTCCAATGGGGCTAGAAACCAAGGTTCACCTGTGTACACATTGGCAGGCACATCAAAAAACCCTTGACTCTTGACTCTTGACATTTGACAAAGAGTAGACAAAATTATTCTTGCTGCATTGGGGAGCCATGGTGGCTAAGTGAGTAAGACGCTGGCTCGCTAACCTAGAGGTCAGGGTTTGCTCCTGGTGTTGTTAGAAATGAAATGAAATGGGGTTTAACGTCATATATACTGTTCTGCTCCAAACTGGGCTAATGAAGATGGGCATACGCCATACAGTGTACTATGAGGGAAATTTTGCTCGGACAGCGGCACTACAGCCTACTCTTATATCGAATTCCAACTGTCAAGGGATCTTTTACGTGCACGCCAATGTTTACGCGGGACCTCGGTTTAAAATACAGATCTATAATTCGTTTCGTTTTTTTATACTTTCGATGGCCTCTACTGCATGAAGATCTGACCAGTTGTAGTCAGGGGTCATACGAGCAGCTTTTGACCTATGACGTCAGACATTTGATTAACCAATCAGCGTTGATGTTTCTAGTGGAATACCCACAGTTCTGCAACAGCTGCAACAGACTGTTTCATTGGCTAATCCCTCACATCAACCAGAACGCAGTTTATATAACAACTCTTCCAGATCCTAGTGTAGTAAAGACAAGTAAAACGAAATTTTGAACTATAAAAAAACGAAACGAAATAGGATCTGTGTTTTAATCAGATTGTCAATCATCACAGAATTTGTATAACGCAAACAACTATTCGATAAAGTTCCTGTTGTGCTTTAAAGTTTATCTAGATTCTTATAGTGTTTATTTTCGTCAAATAAATGTGTATTCAAACGTGACTTGGAAGATGTCTGGAATTTTTGATTCTTTGATGCCTCAGGGAAGAGAATTCCAGAGAAAAGGTGCTGCAAAGCAAAATGATCGAATTCTATCTGTCAAGGGTTCATTTACAAGCAGATCATAAAAGTCCTAACTCACTTTCTTTTGCTTTGTTAAAAGCCTTCAATAAAAAGTCCAGTGATTTTTCAGGATCTGTATCTTCCAACTGACTTCCGATGACAGAATAGATACGACATAAATTGACACAAGCATCTGTGTAAAATGTGATATCTTCTTTTATCCAGTCATCATGATCACATGCTAACAGGTAATAAAACTCAAAATGCTCTGCTGCTTCAAAATAATCTCCTGTAAAGAAATTGATATATATTTACAATTATGAGGGCAGATGATTAAAAATCTACAAAATACAAAGTTTAAATAATAGTGAAACCTTCTGTATAAGTGCAATTAAATACAAAGTTTTAAGAAAATATCCCTTTGGATCAGGGTGCTAGTCAGTAGAGATTTACCTGAAAATAACCCCCCTGAGTTGAAAAATGAAATTGACGTTTTTAAACTACTGAAGCGATATCAAAAGGTAATTTGAATAACTTGAGCTTAACTTCCAAAATTCTGGGGTAAAGGTAAATAACTCTTTTGGGTTTTGAATAATTTAAATATAATTAGAAAATTTTAATCATTTAATCATTGTTTCTTTATTTTTAAACTTTTCAAAACAATTTTGTTGATGTCAATAAAACATTTTGTCTACATTCAGCTTTGCAATAATTTAACAAAACTTGAACAATTAAAGTCTTGTCAATATAGGTTCTAGAGCTAAAGTAATAACATTGCCCTAGGCTTGAAATTTAACCAAGTCTTACAACTATGGTTGGGAGCTAAAATAATGACATTACACTAGCTTACTAGTCTTATAATTTAACCAAGTCTTGCCAATAGGGTCTAGAACTAAAATAATGACATTGCACTAGCTTATCCCTAGCCTTATAATTTAACCAAGTCTTGCCAATAGGGCCTAGAACTAAATAATGACATTCCACTAGCTTACTAGCCTTATAATTTAACCAAGTCTTACCAATAGGGTCTAGAACTAAAACAATGACATTGCACTAGCCGGTATAATTTAACCAAGTTTTGCAAATAGGGTCTAGAACTAAAATAATGACATTAACACAATGTTTCATAATACAAACTTCTAAAGCCAAACCAACACTTCACAGACATAATCCTTAAACTTACCACTAAGTTCTAAAGCCAAACCGACATTACACTGGCCTTCCGCTTGTAGTCGACCTCCATCTGATCTTATTGAAGCACTTGTTTTTAAACATGTATTAAAGAAATGATCCGATAACCATTTATCACCAGTAGATTTAAAATATGTAGCCAACTGATATCTGGCATTATATACCTCGACCAATTCTCCTGGAAATAAACAGTAATTCATAAATAAAAGAACTATTTAGAACAGGGGTAAGGTGGCTGAATGGGTAAGGTGGCTGAATGGGTAACGCGTTGCATCATAAGGTCTGTGATTGAGACTAGTGGCATGGTTTCAATTCCCTGCTTGTACATGACAAGGAGTACGGTTGCCTGCCCAACCTCATGGGTTTTCTCAAGTTTCCTCCCATTGCTAAAGACCACTACAAGCATTGTTAATGTTACAATGCAATGATCTACCCAAATGAGGGCTTTTTCTTTTTATTCTATGATATATTTATTACCTTTTCTTTCTGCTACTTCAGCTACTGTCAGATATTTTCGTAACATGTTCAGTTTTTCCTCTTCTTCCACAATCATAATCTGTGTCCACATCAAAGATTCCGGTCCAGCTTTTTGACGATCTTCTTCTTGTTTGTTGATAAGGGCAAATAACTCTTTAAATGACAAATGGTATCCAGCAGATAACATGTCCAAACATAAGTTGTGAATGTAGGTATTTCGATATCTGAAAATAAAATAACAAAATAACTAATATTACTCCCAAAAAAGCCATTCAAGACAATTAACATTTTTCTGTTAACTAAAACCGTTCACAGGATCAAAATATTCTAAGGAAGTAAATTTTAATTTATGCAGAAATTAAGGTATATATAGACAATAACTATAGATGAAAACAAATAAAGTTAAAGTTAGTAACATTGATTCAAGTGGAGTTTCTTGCAAAACCCACAATTGTTTAGGCCTGTTCAGAATAAGCCAGGAACTGGGCAAAAAATGCAACTCATCTTGTTGTTCTGTTTGTCCTTGGAAGCGACACTCTTTGAATATAGCGTAAGGCTCCGCGCAATCAAGAATGGTCAACAATGGTCTGTTTCTTGGACAATTGCACATTGAATGGAAGACTTCAATTCCAAGATGGATATGAAATAAAATGGAATGGGGTTTAACGCCCTATTTTTCTGCTCTTACTGGGCTAATGAAGACAGACATAGGCCATGCAGTGTGCTTTGAGGGAAATTTTGCCCAAATAGCGGCACTATGGCCTACTTTTATTTTGACTTCTAACTGCCAAGGGATCTGTTACGAGCAAGCCAATGTATACATGGGACCTTGGTTTTTCGACTTATATGAGTGATTATATGTTTTGCTTGCTAGGCCTTCCATCCTGCACAAATTGTTTTAACACAATTCAGATGAATGATAGAAATAACTGTGACCACATGATTTTGTAGAATAATCAAACTTACTCTGACGTTGCCTGTTTCGATAACACTGGTTGCTGTTCTCGTAAAGCTTGTCTTTTTAACATTAAATCTCTTTCGGTTTTTCCTTGAAGTTTTTTAATCGGGGCCAGTTTGATTGACCTTGTATTAGGAGAGGGCTTTGACACTCCATATTGTGCAGTCACTCTTTGGTTACTTGGCCCATTTATGGGTGGCAGGGTTGCTGCCATTTTCTAAAAAATGAAATTAAAAAACATAATCAACAATTTAATTTTGAATTATCTTTGCAACAAAATAAATTAAATAAGCTTTAAAGTTTAGTTATTTGTTCAGGAAGGAATCCCCCAATATTTGACTAACCTTTAAGTTTTTCACTTGTTAACAAATAATCGCCAGATATTCATGTATTGTATTGTACTTTATTAAGCTTTATAATTTGTAGGCTATATAAGCTTAAACTTAGTCTTTATAAATTTATTGATTCATCTATTAGAATGTGTCTATTGATTGGGTGTGATTCACAATTCATAATCCGAATCATCACAAGTAGACAAACCATTAAGAGTTATGTTCCAAATTGACTCCTGAATGTCGTGTGACAATTTGTCTTTCTAAATGCAAAGCACATGCTGTTTCTAACAAATAAATGTGCAGGTAGCTGTATAGATGGACATGCAAGAAAATAAATGACTACAGTAGTCTACATTTGCTGTCACATCCCAAGTAAATTCTATCAAGCCGGCTTCTGCCTAATCTTTCAAAATATAAAGGTAATTAATCCACATAGGGCTTATAAATAAATGACCTTTGATCAAACCGGAATTTTATTTTGACCTTAATAAGTTTATATCTTTATAACCCATTTTGGATATCAAGTAATGGACTATCAAGAATGTCCAAGATTATAAATTCAAGCCCCTTTCCATACATAATATTTTTTGTTTTTATGGTATTAATGAGGCATTATGCAAGAGCTAAATTTGTCTATTGAAGATCTTTCTTTTGGCCTCTAATGTAGACATTTATTCATGACAAGCCCATAATCAAACCATTGGATGGTTGTGATTTTGAATGGATTGAAACATGATCGCCATTTAATAGTGTAGTTAAAAAATGGATGCAGTAATCAAACTTTTGTTTATCATCGTATTCGTAACAACGGTAGCATTGAAAAATGGAGATTGACGCTATACTATTCATTCTTCAAAAAGTCATAACTTCGCTCCGATTGAAGTAATTTGACTGAAATTTTCAATATTCCTTTTTCATTAGCTATAGTAAGAACTGTCTGCTCATTATTCAAATATTACAAATAGATAGCCTAGTTAATGATAATGAATGCATCTTAAATTTAAATTTTTAATCTATTTATATTATTCATTGCTATGCTGTGTATAATAGGCCTAAATGTTCAAAGTTAAGTTATGTGCAATGCATATATTGGTATCTGTCTTATGATGAATCAATAAATAATCTGGCTTTATCTTTACCTGACCTTTTTTTTAAATAATATATCTTAATTATTATTAATAGATCTATCAATATTATAAATAATCAAATACCGTATTGGCGTATTTATAATAATTTAATCAGGTCCAGGATTCAGATACAGATGCCCAAGAAAAGAACTATCACCTGCTGCCAAGAGATCAAAAAATGTCTCCAGTTTTTAATTCGATTGATTTGTGTTCTGCTATTGTCATGAAAAAAAAAATGTTATATAATTACTTACTAAACAGCAGATGCCAAAACAATAAATAAAAGGAAACTTTAACAAAATCAGAAGTCGGCCATTAAACAACGTCGCCTAGACAACTAACATTCCGCACAAATTATATAAATAATTTATACGTGATTTTAAATCTGTTAGTCAGCTCTTTCTATTTACAATGTGAGTGAGGAAATCAATGTGCAAGCAAATATTTTCAAAGATCTCAAATAATTAATTTTAGTATGAATTGGAGGTTATTTATTTTCTTCGTTACTTCAACATGTCAGCCCCCAGTAACTTCCGGTTTAATTGGCTTTACGGTTTACGATCATGAATTCGTTATGGGGGGAAATTGCGGTTGTTCCTGACACCGAATCGGGAATTGCAGCTATAGAACGGGAGCAGATGACTAAATTAAGACCCCTAGAAATTGAGGGACCAAGATTACATCAATGTTCAAGTCGGCATAAACCTCCAACCAATGAGTAAAACCTTTTTTGTTTTATTGAATTCCTAAAATTCAGTTTCGATCAATCAGTTGCAGTTGTTTTTACACATCATAGATCTATGTCAAAACTTATCCACTCCACAACCTTAAGCCCACTTGGTTACACAAAAGGAAATTAAAGACCGCAATAGAATACAAAAGCTAAATCCTGATGTCCATTGAAATCCGAAATCTTGAAAATACAATTGGCAAAACATCTATAATAAGAACACCAAAAGTTGTTTAGTTTAATTAATTAGAAATACGGTTATAGGTCATGCACATGTTATGTATGAGTTGCTCGCTATATCAAGACTGTAAACAAAATTAGACCAGATTCTACATGTATACATGTACTCCAAAGATTATTTTGAAGTTACGTGTTATAGATAGATAGATTGTAAACTGTTGTTTTGGTTTCCATTACAGTCCATTACCTGCTGATCGTTTTCTCACCGACCCTGTGACTTTACATACCATCAGGTTGATTCAGTATTCAAAGAAATTAAAACATCTGATACAATTAGCACAAGAAAGTGTAAGTTAACGTTGTTATAATTAACAAAAGCATTTGATGTCTGAAAGGAAAGGGTCAAATGAGGTTTAGTTTATATATATCCTCAAGTCAACACAATACTTTGCAAACTGTTTTACAGCCGTAATGTGAAAGCCTTCTTTTAACGCTGTACAAGATGATTGACCTTTAAGTTCACATGTGACGTCACATCATAGAAAATATCTTTTTATCCAGATATACTTCAAACACCTTTCTTTTTTTTCTTAATGAATTAAAGAATTGTTTTAGAATTTAATTTGCAGAAGGTAAAAAGTTAATATCAAGGTCTAATAAACATGCCCCTGGGGCATTCCTACCAGTGATAATGGCGACTGAGTGAATAGTTATTGCTGATCAGTTTGGATACTTTGGTATACATTTAGTTTGCTGAAAATCAACATTTAGAAAATTGCCTTAAAATAATCAATTGTCTGTGCAGTCTCCAGTCCTATTTGTAATGGTTTTATAATGAATTTTATAGAAAGCTAACGATAGTGATACAACATTTCCTGCTCCACCACCATTACCAGTTCTAACTGTCGACCCTCCAAAACATAAAATCCTTAAACCCATACCATTCATGCCTCAGAACTTTGACAGGTGAGTTTGAACATTTTTGCTATACACACATATTGTCATCATACAGAAATAAACTGACATCTATTTATCATATCAATTATTTAATCAAAACTTGCAGATAAATCTTGCATGTTACCAATTTTGTCCAGCAGGATTCCATGAGTCAGTTTGGTTGGGGGGGGGGGGGGAATTCTGTCAGTATAGCATTTATGTAAACCACAGCCACCATCAGATCATTTTAAAAAGTAGTGTCCCCCATATGGGTCAATCCGATCAGTCCATCATAATTTATAATTTATTTACAAATACATGTTGCAAGTGCAATATGTTTTCAACAATTGGTTTTTGTGTTGTTATTTTCAGTAAATTTGCTAAAGGTATTGGAGATCCTCCACCTGTTATTGATGAAGTAGGAAATCGTAAATTATTACGGAGGACCGTAGCAACAATATGTGCTCATGCTGGCTTTGACAGTAAGTGCATTCAAATAATGTATCATTATGTCTTTGATATATACACGATTTGTGTACAGAATCTCCTCTTTGTCATCCCATGTTATAATTCAGTGGAAACCAGACTGGAAAATGCTGAGAACTTTCTCAGTCGACACTGAAGCGATCCTGGGACCTTTAGGTTGATGATCTGGCACCATATATTCTTACTGAGGAATCATTATGATTCAGATGGGTTTTGGGTGGCTGAATTGTTTGACAAATTGATTCATATTTTAGTCCCAAATGACCTAGTTTATGTTGGAATGGACTTTAAACCCCATTTCTCTCTCTCTCTCTCTCTCTCTCTCTCTCTCTCTCTCTCTCTCACTCCATAATTCTGAGTTAAGTAATTTAGTATTAAGAAAAGTAATTCCCCAAGCAACACACCAACAAGACTGTTAAGGAATATATAGAAATTTATTCCAGAATGTGTTTTGGATGGAGTATCTCTTTATATCAACTGGACGAAACGCGTCCTGGAATAAATCTCTATATATTCCTTAACAGTCTTGTTGGTGTGTTGCTGGGGGATTACTTTTCTTGATCTTTTTCAGAGGATTCTGTTTTCGTCTCTGCACCCACCGTATTACTAAGATCCACGCCGACCTGCACTGTTCCAGGGATTCTTCCACCCACTACTACTACTTTAGTGAGAAGTTGTTCGCCATTGTCTTGGATATAATTTTGTATTATAAGATGATGCTATATTTTTAGCAAAATATACCTGTACCAGTAACTTAAGATACATTATGGGAGATTAGATAACGAGTTGGCAGTTCTCACTATAATAGTTAAAAACTACATAATGGAAAGGCAATTTGCTAAAAATTTCAGTCAAATTGATCCACTATGAACCGAGACTCGGTCATCATTACTAAAATCAGTACGACAAAAATCATAGTCTTGATTATCCATTTAATCGCTAAATCGAGAAGGAAAGTTATGCAGCAAATCGGATCACAATCCAACAAATATCGCAGGCTAGCGTTGACATCGAGAGTTGATTATGGTCTGGATATGTTAATTAATGTCTAATTAATAGTTTATATAACATTTACGGCCTAAAGAAAGACCTACAATAGGCAGATTTAGCTCTTGCATAATGTATGTTTAGTTTAATTTATTTATTCATTTCAGATTCAACAGAATCAGTTGTAGAGACATTGACAGACATAACTCACGAATTTTATCTCAATTTAACTCGTCATTTACGAGCAGCAGCAGATACAGCAGCATTTAATTCCAGATCTGAATTTCCTGTAAGTGCATGTATGCTATATTAACTCAAAAATGATGATTACTTTTCAAAAATGTTATTTTATAAGACAAATCAAATTGGGATTTAATGTCCTGTTTTACTGCACCAAATGGCCAAATGAAAACGAGCATATTGTATGCAGTGTGCTATGAGGGAGATTTTGCCCTAACAGCGGTGCTACAGCCTATTGTTATTTCACTTTTCAACTCTCAAGGGGATCTTATAGTGTTGTTAATAATGGTATGCACAGAACCTCTGGGTTTTTTTACCCCATTCCAACTACTAGGCCCTACATCTGTGACAAAGTGTATACCCCCATCTATGTTCAACCATCTCATTTGGATCTGTTTTAAAGTTAAACTAGTAGTTTTTGCTTTGATTTCCAGGATATAATTGAACAAGTTTATCATGAGATTGGGTTAGGAAGTATAAAATGTCTACATGAATTTTATCAAACTAGAATTATAAATTATCGTGAAAATATGGAGAAGCAGTGTCAGCAACTGATGGTGGAATATGAAAAATTACAAGAACCAACACAACAAAAACCTTCCTCATCTCAACCAGATACATTCCATGTGATAAGGTAATTTGAGTTAGTTCTACATCAGACTGGTCCTCTAGTTCACCACCAGATACATGAAGGTGCTATTTCTACATCAGATAGGTCCCATATCTACATCAAATAAATCCCATTTCTACATCAGATAGGTCCTATTTCTACATCACAAAGGATAGTTCTGATTTCTACATCAATTAGATCCCATTTCTATACCAGATAGATCCAATTTCTACACCAGATACATCCAATTTCTACATTAGATAGATCCCATTTCTACATAAGATACGTAATATTTCTACATCAGACAGGTCATATAGTCCCATTTCTACTGCATCAGGCAACACCAGTCATCAGACAGTTGCAATTTCAATCATATTTGCCAATCCAGGGGCTGACAAGGAAAGCTGTCTAGTCGTTCGGATGGGACGAAAAACCGAGGTCTCGTGTACACATTGGCGTGCACGTAAAAGATCCCTTGGCAGTTGGAATTCGATATAAGAGTAGGCCGTAGTGCCGCTGTCCGGGCAAAATTTCCCTCATAGCACACTGTATGGCGTATGCCCGTCTTCATTAGCCCAGGTTAGGAGCAGAACAGTAGGACGTTAAACTCCATTTCATTTCATTTCATTGCCAATCCAGGCAGATTGCCTTTAAAATTGATGGTAGTGTAATAAGCCAATCAGTCAATTTACATACTTGGACATTAAACTGTAAAAATAGCTTATTTCTCCCCAAACTATTTGACACATAGCATTGCTCATGTCATGGGTTATTCTGTCCGTACACACAAAACATACACAATCTCAAATGTCAGAATATTCCATGAGAAATTTGGGTGGGATAGGAACGCAGTAATTGAGTGATTAGAATACTGGGTTGACAACTATTTTGTAAAAAGTTTGAGACTACTTGGACTGAGAATGAAATTTTTATCCAAAGTCTTGCTCACCAAGAAAGTTTGCTACTGTGAAATTATTGATATGAGCATGTAACCATTTTTACAAAATTTTCTTATTTCAGAATAAAGGAAGAAGCATGTTCAGAAATTCAGTTTCCATCTTTAGATGAGAATGATGAAGGCAATGAAACAGAACATTTATTACAACTTGATGGTAAAGTATCTTCTTTCTTCCGACTGTTGTATGCCTTGTAGACTACAAAAGTGACAGTCTTTTAATAAACCATCCAACTAAAATTGTCCTTATATGGTAGTAATAGGACTAACACATATAATATAAATTTCATTATGAAATGAAATTGAGCTTAAGTTCCTGATATTCTGGACCAACCTGGCATACTTCCTGCTATGAGGGAAATTTGATCCAGGGAGTGGTGTTTCGGACAACTCTTCATCTAATTCTAGCTGTCAAAGTTTCATTTACTTACGTGCACACCTAAGTGTACACATGGGCTCGGTTATTCGAACCATTTGAATGATTATTATTAGCTGTTCCTGGACTACTGGCAAGGCAAAACCATGCTCTTATAAGACCAAGCCTGAAGAGAGAAACAAAATCTAAGATGACAAAATTTAAATACTAAAGTCCAGTGACTTTATCAGGAATTTTTTTCTCCAAAATTTAAATGATGTGAAACCCCATTACACATTTTCTTTATTATGAATTATATATATCTGAGCTACAAAGCATTGGGATTATGTATAGCAGGACTAGAAAGTACTACAACTGTGTGTAGCATGGCCATAGAATTATGTATACCGGTACATTTATTGTAGGTTTAGGAAGTTTTGAAATTACAGTAGAACAGGAAACAACAAGTGGTCTAACAACAGAAGTTGAATCAAAATGGAGTGGAAAACATGAACAACAAGATCAAAAGTTTGTGTTTATTTATAGATCATCTTATGAGCCATTCATAGACAGTACATACATACATGGGGTTTGACGTCCTACTATTCTGCTCCGACTGGACTAATGGAGGAAATGTCTCGGTCAAAACAGGGATCGAACACAGTCTTGCTCACTGAGTCACCGTGCTTCACACATTCAGCCCTTGGCTATAACTAATTGCAATAAGATGTGTGACAGATTTGTCATAGACTTACAGGAATGAGTCATACAGCCTAATCTTGAAAATGAAAAAAACTGTATAAAAGTTATGCTCTACTTATAAATAGTCAGGGAGCCACAGTTACTCAGTGAGTAAACGTTGGCTCAGTAACCAGGAGATCCAGTGTTCGAACCTGGTGTTGGCTGAGAAATTTCTTCAGGATTTTTTCCCGACGTGGTTCCCCCTTGTCAGTGGTGTCAAACAGAGGGAAAGCGTATAGTCAGTTGGATTAGCGAAAAACCAAGGTCCTGTATGTGTACACATTGGTGTGCACGTAAAGAACCCTTGGTAGTTATCGTCATGGCACACTGTTTGACATATGACCGCCTTCATTAGCTCTGTCAAGCTGAAAAGTAGGATGTTAAACCCCATTTCATTTCATTTATTAGTAGTCAATACGTTTATGTATCTGCATCATGTATACGACAGCATTAGATATAAAATAATGAGTGTTATTGAAAATAACGGAATGATAAACGCCTAAGATATAGTTGGTCAGAGGCAGAGACTGTCTAAGAATCTGCAATTGCATAGCATTAAATTTAGAAAAATAAGCCATTTTGTTTAGGTCATAATTGAGACAAAAGTTGTTCCGACTCTCTCTCTATATATGACTGTTGTACGAGTTGTTCAAGCCAATATCAACATACCTTACCCTGCATGGTACCAGACATTACCTTTAGTCATTTAGTACCTGGTTTTGTGGGGTGGGGGACTTTAGATCATAAGGTCCATTATTGAGTCAAATCGGGGGGGGGGGGGTTCAAGTTCACACTTGTATGTGACAAGGAGTAGGGTTGTCTGTCATACTTCATAGCTTTTCTACTGTTCATCCGGTTTCCTTCCACAGCTAAAGATCCCTATGCGCTAGCAAATTTTTGAAATAAAATTGAACCATATGTTAGTCCCGAAATGACCTAGGTTGGTCAAGTGGCAGGGTTTCGCATCCACACTTCCAGTATGTGACAAGTAGGTTTGCCAGCTTCTGGTTTAGTCCTACAACGAAAGGCCCCTATGTGTAAGCAAATAAAATTGAACTATAAGTTGGTTCCGAAATGACCTAGTTTGTGGTGAGTGGATACTAAACCCCATTTCACTCTCTGTACCTGGTAATTGAATTTCATTAATGTTGTATTTTATTGACAGAGGAAAGAGTGAATCACAAGAGGAAAGTGATGATCAGGTAATAGAGACACCAGCAGATCATCTCAGTGATAGTTTTATGAGTCCAGGTTCGATTCCTGTCACAGATATTCTATCACCACCATCTATATCACGACCTAGTAAACCTAAAAAACGGTGAGTACTTATTCTATAACTACCATCTATATCACGACCTAGTAAACCTAAAAAACAGTGAGTACTTATTCTATCACCACCATCTATGACGTAGTAAATCTAAAAAAACGGTGAGTACTTATTCTATCACCACCATCTATGACGGAGTAAATCTAAAAAAACGGTGAGTACTTATTCTATCACCACCATCTGGGCATCTATTTCACAACCTATTAACCTAAAAAATGGTAAGTACTTAATCTATATCATGACCTATTAACCTAAAAAAACCGGTGAGTACTTATTCTATAACCACCATCTATATCACGACGTAGTAAATCTGACTACTTACGCTATCATCACCATCTATATCATGACCAAGTAAACCTAAACAACTGTGAGTAGATATTCTGTTACAAACTTTATTATCACAATTTAACAGAGGGCCTGGCAAGGGACAATGTATAGTCATTTGGATGGGGTAAAAAAAATGAGGTGCCATATACACATTGGCATGCATGTATAAGAACCCTTGACTTTTGGAGTTCGATAATATTCACTCATAGGACACTGTATAGAGTATGCCTGTCTTCATTAGCCTGTCTTGAATAGTAGGAGTAGGACGTTAAACCCCATATCATTTTCATTTCTCACCACCTTCATATCAACATCTAGTTAATTTATGGTTTGTATCACCATCTATAACAACACTATTTAAATCACCAACATTTAATTCATAATTTGTAGATTGAACTTAGTAGATATTCTTTCATGTTATTTTATATTTTATTTTATAATTGATTGTTTTTGGAGATCTTCCGGAGGACAATTGCTTGTTTTGGGAAATCTTTTAAGAAGACAATTAATGGTTTTGGGAGCTCTCAGGGCAGACAATTGATTGTTTTGGGAGCCCTCAGGGCAGATTGTTTTGGTGATCACCCTCTTAATGCAGGTAGAAAAGGTACAAGACACTTGTAAATAACAAATATTCAAAATATGCTTCATGTTATAATTAAAATATGATTTTATGTCTGTTTCAGGAAAAAATGAGAAGGAAAGATGTGATTAGAAATAAGGATTATATGTCTTGAAGATGGTTTTAATATCATGCCATATGGTTAATGTGATTCATAATCTGTGTTGGATACATAAATGGGACACAAGGAATGCAGGTTACTATAATTGTAACTTTCCTTTCCCATTTAATGTACCCTTTTCTGTGCCTAAGAAAAGTCTGCAAACTATGGCAGAAAAGGAAAACAACATTATGTATAACAGAACAAGAAAGTGGAGAAGTTATATATAACAACACCAGAAAGTACTTTAATGGTATGCAGTACTGTACTAGAACTGTATATAGCTGACATTTTATATTTTTATTACAAGAAATAACAGTAGAACATGGAACAATACCGATACTGATTGAAATTTGGTGCATTATTGCTGTCTATATTCCATCATCCTCTTTAGAAAGGAATCAAGGTTGCCACACTAACCCATGTCATTACTTCTACTGGAGTTCTTTGGAGTAGGGGAAGTCACCTTGGAAATGAAATGGGGTTTCATGTCCTACTGTTCTGCTCCGACTGTGCTAATGAAGATGGACATATGCCATACAGTGTGCTATGAGGGAAATTTTGCCTGGGCAGCAGCGCTACGGCAAACTTTTGTATCAAATTCCAACTGTCAATGGATCTTTAACGTGTGCGTCAATGTGTACATGGGACCTTGGTTTTTTATCTCATTCGCACAACTATACGTTGACCCTTTCCAGGTGCTTGGTCTTGCACCACTGACAAAGGGGGACCATGCTGGAAAATCCCAATGAACTTTCTCGGCCAATGCAGGGATCAACTTGGGACCTCCAGGTTAGCATTGTGGCTCCCGAGTCACTTCCGACCCTCAACTAGAATGTGCTTGATTCAAATTCTGATAAAAATTCTCAGGATTTTTAAAGCCAGGTCATACATGTAGCATTGGTTAGTTGATGGGACAAAAAACCGATGCCACCCGTTTACATTTTTAGGTGCACATAAATGAACCCGTGACAGTGGAATTTGTCTTCTCCCTTGCAATGCACACGACGCCATAGAAAATAAATACGAGGGAAGTATTGTTTTGACGAGATTACTTTTCATGAATGAGGTAGCATCGAGTATCAATCGGTAACGTGGAATTGCAATATTCAATTTGTATGTGTACAAATGCCACTGTCTACGACCGAATGTAACAGGTTACCTAGTTGAAATAAAGACTTGCTGTACTATATTTCTCTCTTTTCATATTCTCTACACTGCTGGGCTGGATTAAGCTTGCATGGGGTCCTGTATGAAAATGTCACCGAAGCCCTTGTATAAACAATAAAAAGAGGGCATATTCTGGTCATTGTCCATCACACTCACACAAATGGAATATATATGTCAGTATGGTCGATAGATAGATATATTTGACACAAACATATACAACTTAATACACACAATATTTTATTTATCGTACAAAAATTTGTTTAGAACTAATTATGGCCCCCTTTTTATAACTCTTGGCTACCACACAACCAGCGCCCCCTATCATCAGGCCCAGCTGCAACGTAGAAAACCGGCATTTATTTTTTATGTTTTAATAGAAACAGACATTTCAAGCATCATGCAAATGGGGTGTTTTCATTTTTTGTTCAGTTATTATGAAGCTATTATTGTTTTCTCCAACAGCAGGTTAGGCTGCCCTGTTCTGTATCTAGTAAACCATGGCACAATGTGGGAGTTTTTTATTCAATAACCTAGTCACCTGATTGGCCGAACTACGGGAACTTTTGACCCAAGATATAGGTCAGAATCCCTCAAATGGAGGAACCTCATTTTATGCCTTCGTCTACTATTTTATATTTCCATTCACACTATAAACCTAAAATATTTTTGTATGCAGATATACTTCAATCACCTTTGGTTTCTGTCTTAATAATTTAAAAATCTGGCATAAGCCTTATTGTGGACGCTCTAGAGCCTATAATTAATATCCGATTGACTTTAAATTTATACACGATGTTTAAGGTCATGAGACAAATAATCTTATTAATTTTCAACGATTCCCAGTAATGACTGCCAGAGTTATGGCCCTTGATCAATTTGAAAAATCTTGTGGACGCTCTAGGCGCTAAGGGTAATATCCGATTGACTTAACACTTATACACAGTGTTTAAGGTCATGAGATGAAGAAGCCTGTCAATTTTCAACAATTTCCGATGACTATGGAAATTGATATTAAATGTTTTGTATGCTAAATGTTAAAATAGGGCAGAACTAGAAGCCAAATGGGTTGTTACTTGTAATCAGATCTTAGTGTGTTGTAAATGTTTTCAATTCTGACGAAAGAAAAAAATATGCGACGGACAACCCTTGTTAGTTCACGGATGACTTAGCTGCTGTGGGCGTATGTTTCAATGTCTGGCAACCTATTTTTCAAAACAATTGTGATTATTCTTTGGTTTTTCATATTTTTTAAAATTCTTGGTATTTTTACTTTTTCTTCTTACTTGGTGCTAAATCATATAATATCTACTATCAAACATGTATTAAAACAAGGTATCCGCAGAGTTATGTTGACAATTTGTTGCTGCTCGAGGTACCTCTCACACTATTTAGTTCTAAATCGTATATAAAATCTAAATCTTACAAACTAGCGTCTCGTTTCCTTTCAATGAAAACACGTATTTCAATTTTTTAAATTAATGTCAATTCGGTTTCTTGGATATATTTTCCTTTCATTGAAAACATAAAAAGTTCGGTCTTTTAAAATTCTAAATAATCTAGGTTCTATACAATCACCGTTACACCATATGTTTAAACTATTTGCGTACGAGGGGCGGCCATTTTGTCCATCAGTTTTGGTCCGATTTTAACGAAATTCGAGCTCGACCAAAATTACGGTGTAACGGTGATATATTGGAATGTTTTTTTTTAAATCAGATAATAATTGTGATCTCTCGAGGGACCCCAACCTGAAAATGCGACTTATCGTAAAATCAGGGGCCATAATTCAGGAAGTTACAGTCCGATATGCGCGGATAGCGAAAGAAACCAAGATCTTTGGGTTATAAAAATGTATTTCAAGTTTCATCAAAATCAGATGAAAAATGTGACCTCTAGAGTGTCCACAAGCTAAAAACGGGGTCATAATTCATGAAGTAATGGTCCGATACATGCCAATATCGAAAGGAACCGAGATATTTGAGAGATTGACCTATATTTCTAGTGATCGTCAAAATCGGATAAAAATTGTGACCTGTAGACGGACGGATGGGGGTGACTACAATAATATACGTCCACATGAAAATGTGGGCGTATAAAAACGAAAGAAAGAAAGGCATATATAGCGTGTAGCAATACGAAATTGTTACACATACGGGCTTCTGTACAATATGACATTCAAGAAATTCTTTTAATTATATCGATAGTGAAAGTAACAAACTGGTTAGACGAAGCTGTTGTGTACATTTATTGGTTCTAAGAAATGTATTGTGCCTAAGAAATAGCAGTTTAGCATTTAATGTAGTTACGGACAGGTTTGGGTTCATATTTACAGCAAGTAAGTTTATAATTGATTAATTTCATTATTTTATGTGTGGAGCAAGTATTGTTAAAAAAATTATCGGTGACCAAGTCCCACAATAAATACTGAATATAAGAGTAAGTTTTAACTGGAATGTTTGTTGTACCCCGCCTTTTGAAGAAGGCAGGGGACTATTAAAATGGGTTCGTTCGTCTGTCTGTCCGTCCGTCTGTCACTTTTTGGGACACAATAACTTTCCTTCTAATTGAGCTAGAATGTTCAAACTTGGTGCAGGTGATTATTAGGTCAATGATGGAGTTTGAGACTTTATCGCAACGTTCAGTGCCAGAAATACCGCCAGGCTGCATTTCCCCCTACCCTAGTTGAAGCCCGCGTTGCCCCTAAACCTCAGACTTTGCCCCAGCTTTGCCCTCCAACCACCGGCGACTTGCGCCGCCACTGATTACATCAATACCTTAACGAAGTTCGATAATGAGCATTTTCTGGTTCGGGTAAGCAGAGCGATAAGCAATGTGATTGGCCGAGACTTTTGAACACAATAATGCCCCATTGACACTTTCACGCATTTTGAATCCGCAATGGTAATCATTATAGTACCAATGCGGATGGATATCATGTATATTTCACCTGTCAATCAAATAGTTCGTGCCATTGCTGACCAACCTTTGCTCATAGTATGCAAAATCTGTCCGCACTGGTGCGCATTCGTACCATGTTAGTTGTCTCTCATGTGTCCCGCATCGTCCATCATTGTCCCGTTACAGTACGCAATATCTGCGGATAGTTTGCGCACAGTTTGCGCAGGTGACCGCGCACTTGGGCTATGATAGGGCCTACGCCAGTTCCTGCACTGTCAGGTATTGGTTACGCTAGTGTACTCAGTTTTAAGCATGCGTGACCATTTTGTGAGTCATTTTGTGGCACGCACTGGCACGCTTCATAGAAATAGTATATATAAAGCAAAGGTATTAGGATATGGTCCATTCCGTCGGCAACTCTTCAAAATGATGAACCCCAGAGACCTTGAAGAAAGAAACCTTACTTTGCAAAACGTACATCTTACAGCAGCTGCTGGTCTAATACTTTTGGAAGAAGATGAAAGTAAACGAAATATTGTTCTACAATCAAAACCTGACACCGACAGAACGTCTGCCTGCAGCAAGAAAACAAAAGTCAGGAGACTCTGGGTGAGGCAATGGTTGACAAGGAGACAACATTTTGGCCATTAAATGACCAGTTATTGTCGGAACTACACAAGGAAGATCGCAGAGGTTACCGGAACTTCCTACGTATCACCCCTGAACTGTTTCAAGAGATGATTGAAAAGTTGACCCCACTCCTGAAGAAGAATAAAACATTTATGAGAAAACCTCTTGAAGTTGGCCTGAAGTTAGCAATCACACTCCGCTTCTTAGCCAGTAGCGATTCCTATGCAAGTCTCCAATACAATTTCAGAGTTGCACTTAGCACTATATGCAAGTTTCTACCAGAAGTATGTAAAGCTGTCATCAAGGTCTACAAACCAGAAGTATTAGTTTGTCCTAGAACAGAAGACCAGTGGAATACTATTGCTGAAGGTTTTAGTAGCAGATAGAATTACCACAACTGTCTTTGAGCCGTTGACGGTAAGCATGTTGCTATGACAAACCCCCTCGGGTGGATCCTTCTACTTTAACTACAAGAACTTTCATAGCATCGTGCTCCTTGCAGTGGTGGATGCTGGGTACCAATTTCTGTACCTTGATGTTGGAGCGGAAGGTGGAAATTCTGATAGTGGAACATGGAGCAACTGTACGTTGCATGAAGCTGTTGAGAACAAAAGAGCCAGACTGCCTCCACTCGCTTCCCTGTGCGGCATCTGTGAGTAAAGCAAACCTGCCAATGAGTATATGAGAGTAAACTATGAGCACCAGTGAGTGAATTATGAGCACCAGTGAGTACACTGTGAGGATCAATGAGTAAACTGTGAGCACCAATGAGTGACACACGTCAAGTGGCGGGAAGAATTCCTGACCACTGGCAGATACCTACATCAACCCATGAGCACCATTGCTGATCTTGTCGTACCAGTGATGAACCTTGTGCACCAATGTGTGACAATGAGTACCCCTCAGTGCGTGACATAATTTCCATTGACACTTTTACGCACCGGGTACGCATAGTTTGCGCATAGTTTACGAAAATGGTACGCCCTGGATTGCGTGGCATGAGCTTGGACAAATCCAAGGTTTTGGGTCGGCACTGTCATACATGGCACGCAATGGTATGCATAGTTTACGACTGTTTCCCGCGATGGTACGCATAGTTTCCGTCTTGGTATGAACTTTAGCGTACCAAAGCGTACCACGATTGCGTGAAAGTGTCAATGGGGCATAACTCTCCTAATTTAGCCACAATGTTCACACTTGGTGTAGGTGTTGATTAGGTGAATGCCTTGATGGAGTTCGAAGATGAGAATTTTCTGCTGTGGGTAAGCAGAGATAAGCAATTTGATTGGTTGATGCTTTGGGATGCGATAAGCTTATTAGTTCTAATTAAGTGAAAGTGATGAAAAGTTTTGTATAGTTTGACGAAGTTCGACAATGAACATTTTCTGCTGAGCGTAAGCAGAGCGATAAGCAATCTGATTGGCCGAGACTTTGGAACACAATAACTCTCCTTGAGCCACAATGTTCACACTTGGAGTAGATGTTTAGTAGGTGAATGCCTTGATGGAGTTCAGAGATGAGAATTTTCTGCTATGGGTAAGCAGAGATAAGCAATTTGATTGGTTGATAACTTTAGTTCTAATTAAGTGGCGAAGTTCGACAATGAACATTTTCTGCTGAGCGTAAGTAGAACGATAAGCAATTTGATTGGTCGAGACTTTGGAACACAATAACTCTCCTTCAATTGAGGTAGAATGTCCAAACTTGGTGAATGCATTGATGGAGTTCAATGATGAACATTGCTTACGGTAAGCAGAGATAAGCAATTTGATTGGTTGAAGCTTTTGGGCACGATAACTTTGGTTATAATTAAATGAGAGCGATGAAACTCTGAGTACAGATTCATTTTATCATTACCTTCACTAAGTTCGATGACGAGAATTTTCTGCTTAGTTCAAGGAGCAATAAGCAATTTGATTGGTCAAGACTTTGGAACATAACAACTTTGCTTTTAATTGAGATAGAATGTTTGGACTTGATAGATGGTTATATTAGGTGAATGTCTTGACTGAGTTCAATTATTAACATTTCCCGCTAAAGCGAAGCAGAGCTAAGCAATTTTTTGACTTTTATTCTGAAAGATAGTGATAAAACATATTGTATAGTTGATAATCAGTTTGATTGCGCGATACTTTTGAAAAAGATCAATGTGCATTTAATTAATGTTCTCATCGGCGTGTACGTAAAATAATCCTTGAATTCAAAAAAAGAGTAGGCATTTGTCTGAGCAAAATTCCTCCATGTGGTCGTATATTGTTCCCGCCCCCGTCCGTCTGTCCGTCCACAGTTTGTTTGGGAACTCTCTGCAGGTCACATTCTCTGTCATCCGATTTTGACGAAATTTGAAATATAGGTTTATCTCCAAAGATTTTGGTTCCGTTCGATATTGGCATGTCGTAGCTTCATGGATTATGGCCCCTGATTGTTCGAAAAATCACGTTTTTAGCTTGTGGACACTCCAGAGGTCACAATTTTGATCCGATGTTGGTAAAAAGATGAAACATGTTTATATCACAAAGATCACGGTTCCTTTCGATATTCACGCATGTCGAACCGTTACTCCCTGGATTATGGCCTCTGATTGTTGGAAAAATTCGCGATTTTAAATTGTGGACACTCTAGAGGTGGCAATCTTTATCCGATTTTAAAAAACGTTTACATATATCATCTTTACACCCTGATGATAGTTGAGTTCGAATTTTGCAATAATGTTGTGTACCCTCTAGAGGTCACAATTTTGATCCGATTTTATATCCAAAAGATCTCGGTTCCTTTCTATATTCCTGCATATCAGACCATAATCTCCTGGATTGTGGCCCCTGATTGTGCGAAAAATCGCTTGCTTGTTCTCTGTCCATCTCTTGCAAAATGTGGGCGTATCCTGCATGGGGACCGCTTGTTTTTATCTGTATAGGATCAAGGATTGTCGCAGAAACGTCTGGCACACCCACCCAACACACCAAAGCCAAACAGTGATCTGAATTGTCATCGCACATCATTGGAAGACGAACGGGTACCGTCTAGTGTTAGTGAAAAGATAACATTTGGGACAACACCTATTTGGAACTGCTTCCTCGCCAAATTTATTAGTAAGACAAATAAAGTCTTTTTTTGACAGCAGCATGTTCGAAGGTAAGCCATTCCCAACGCATGGAAGAATATTTATAGTTATAGATTATTGCCCTATCCAGTTACTAAGGGATTATCATTCCCAAACTGACGTATTTGAGAGTGCTAATAATTCATCTGTAGACGAGATCTTTTAAGATAACAATCAAAGATGCATTATGTTAGAGCTAAATCTGCCTATTGTGGGTATTTATTTTGGACTCAAATGTTATTTAAATTATTAATTCGACATTGTTTTCACATGCCAAGCCTATAATGACTCTCTAGGTCATCGAATGGTTGTGATCTTGAACTGATTGAAATATCATCGCCATTAAATTTGATTTAAAAGTGGATAATCGAGACTTTGTTCATTACCACAATGACGGTAGCAATGACATCCGAGACTACGGTATGCTTCAAGCAAAATCTTTTTTAGGGAGAAATGAATTATACAACGGTGAATATTACTTTCAGCAAAATCATTCCAATTTGGTACAACCGGGTCATCTTTTGGTGGAGCGTTGGGTTTTGATTTCACGTCTGCCAATGCCACTGATAGTAGCCAATCACTAATTGGAAAGATGGGAACTATTGGCGGAAGTACAGGTTGTGGAGGACTGTTCGGCGGAGATAAAAAACTAATATCAGGTGTGTTCTCATTACCTTCCCGGTAGATCCAATCTATTATTTCTTTCCAATCATGTGTAATTTACACGCATAAATAAATAGATAAATAAATAAATAAAATAACTATGAAATAACAATTACTTAGCTTTTATTACAGCGACTTTTAGACCAGGCCTTTTTACTATACATCAGGCAATGATGAAGACTATAGAAAAACAAGCAAATATATACAGAATAGCATAATACAGAAGACACAAAGAATGACTTGAACAGTGACTATTGGACAAATTTATTTATTTTTATATAGGAACAAAGATAAAGTTTGAGCCACCTAGTGGTCAGGATTCAATGGTTAAAAATGGACAAACTAAGAATATAACTACTAGACATCAATGTATTACAGCTATGAAACACTATGAAGATAAAAGCATTGAGGTAGATAGATCATGGATAACTTTATTTATTCTGAAACTTTCAACTGGTGAATAGGTTGTTACAGTGCCTTTTCTGTATTGATTTGAGGGTTAGGTTCGGTCTTGGGGGTCTTTCATAATTTGATCAAGTGGCGTGGTTACAATCCCTATAGCTTGTACATGGTAGAGTCGCTTGTCCAGATTCGTGAGTTTGGAGTAGTATAATGCTCCCACTTTAGATCATGAGGTCTGTCATTTAGTAAAGTGGCGCCATTTCAATTCCAAGCTTCTACACGATAGGATCTCCTACACAAATTGTGGTTTTCTACGGCTCTCCGTTTTCATCCAACTGCTAATTATTGAACTAAAATTGTACCATATGACCGAGTTTGTGCCAAGTGGACGTTAGACTTCATTTCCTTCTCACTCTCTCGACTTTGACTGCTAAACTTAAACTCACGGGAGTCAACACTGGTGTACTGTAAACTATTGCCGGCACGACGTATCGTTGAATCCCTCTCGATTCACCTACTCACGATTCACAATATTGAATCGCGAAACGCTGAATCGCGATTCTTTTTTGTGTTTTTGTCGCTTCAGTAAGTAACCTGTCGCTCTTAATTATCCACGTCACAATTACACATTATACACAGGTACACAAACACTCTTAAACATACATTAAACAAGCGTTAGATCTGCCTATTCAGGTCTTTCTTTAGGCCTGAAATGTTATCTAAATTATTAATTAGGTGGCATCGCTAGCCTGCGTTATTTACTGGATTAGGATCCGATTTGCTGCTCAACTTTCATTCATGATTTAATCATGAAATGGACAATCGAGACTATGTTTTTTATCGTACCGACTTTATAGTAATGATGATCGAGGGCTAGGCCTGAAATTCAATGCTAAAATCTTGGTTCAGAGTCGATCAATTTGACTGAAATTTTCAGCAGATTCCCTTTACATTATCTAGTTTTTAACAATTATAGTGAGAACTGCCAGCTTTTTTTATCTAATATCCCATCATGTATCTTTAAATTGTTTTGGTCCTTATTTTGATCCACATCAATATCATGATATAAAACTGGTTTATTTCTTCGACATTGGCAGGACTCAAAATATCAATTATTCATTTATCCTGTTGTTTTCTGGGTAAATATTGACCTGGTATTGAATCGCAATACTTAGTGTTTCGTGACTACTGAAAATTGTGGGACTACTTCTTTAAAAATATAAAGTAATGTATGTTAAATGAAATGATTGGAATTTCATATATTTTAGGAATTGAGATATGAAGATTGGATCGAAGGTAAGAATTTCGGAAACGATGCTCAAACAATTATCTTCTGAAGATAATGTACTTAGTTTCTAGACGAATCCTTTTCCTGATAATAATTTCAGTGAATGAATCAGATATTGAAAACCGTGAGTATATCAAATTATATGGCATGTCTCCTTTAAAATATTTGAAAGTAGATATTTTAATAGGAGAAATGAAGACTCAGTGTTGATTTGTATTTACTTTCAGCAAAATCAGGCGGATTTGGTACAAGCACCGACTTTTCTTCTACTGGCGGGTTTTTTGGATCTCCCAATAATAAACCGGAGGTGCCTTGTGGAACCAATCCAACGTTTGGTATTAGAACAGCATCAACTTCTAATGACACAAAACATTCATTTGGGACAAATCCAACGTTTGGAACCAATTCAACGTTTGGAATTAGTAGAGCACCAACTTTTAAACCAAAAGTGTCGTTTGGAACCATTCCATCTGGAAACAAGCCATCCTTTGGAGCGTTTGGCTTTAGTACTACCGATGACAAGAGTAGAACCTCTTCGCCATGGGGAATAACAGCAAACTCTGGAACGTTTTCTTTTGGCAAAACATCAACTAGTGGCTTTGGTGCAGCACCAACTACGAATGGCAATAATAGTAGCCCACCACTATTTGGAAACATGGAAACTAGTGGTGGAAATACTGCTCATGGATTGTTTGGACCAAGTCTGGTTTCGGCATTCAGTAATTCCGTGAATGAAGCCAAGACACCATCAATTACTGGTAGATGAAATTTAGTATCAGAGCAGGCCGTAGTGCCGCTGTCCCGATTGCATACCGCGATGGCTCAGTAAATTAGACGCCAGCTCACTAACCAGATGGTCTCGAGTTCGCTTTCTGTGTTGACCGAAAATATTCCTCAGGGTTTTCCAGCTTGTTTTACCCTTGCCAGTGGTACAAGGCCTGACAAAGAGAGAGAGAGGGAAATGGGGTTTAACATCCACTCGACACAAACTAGGTCATTTCGGGACGAACATATGGTTTAATTTTATTTCAATAATTCGCTTGCGCGTAGGGGTCTTTAGCAGTGGGAGGAAACCGGAGGACCCGGAGAAAACCCACGAGGTTGGACAGGAGACCCTATTCCTTGTCACGTACAACCGGGGATTCGAAACTCCGCCAGTTGACAGGTCGTATGATACAGCACGCACGTGCTAACCATTCGGCCATCCAACCCCCTGCCTGACAAAGAACAGTGGTGTCTAGTCATTTGGATGGGACGAAAACCTAAGACCTCGTGTAAACATTGGCATGCAAGTTAAACGACCCTTTACAGGTAGAATTCGAAAAAAAAGGTGTAGGCCGTAGTGTCGCTGTCTGGGCACAGTTTCTGGTTAAACCCCATTTCATTTCATTTAATTTTTTATTGACTTTTCAACAATGTATATTATGAACCGTGCATCGTATATTTTAGGTTTCAGATTCAAAACCACCAAACTAACTGAAACGGATAATAGTGATACCAGAAAGAATGTATTTTCCAATGGTGTTGTTACACGTGAGTATTAGCCTACATTCCTGACTCACACTCAATATTTCAAGAGCGCAGACTTCTCATTGATCCGCTCGTCTTCATTGTTCGGAACAGAACAACAGTAAACCTGTTTCATTTCATTTCTCATTGACTAGATCTGAGATTTTAGCCAATAAAAATGGTGTAGTTTGTGCCAATAATGTGAATTAAGTTTTGAATAAAATTCTAATTTTAAAAGCCAAATAAGACTATTGTTTTAGGGTTCTGTGACTAATACAAATGCGAATTTAGGTTTTATTGCCCGCATATATAGACAAGTACCGTCGCCCAGAAGAGGCCTAATAAATAGTGAATACGTCACACATTTCGCCTGGTAAATTGTTTATTTCGACAGCTTGTAAACGCAACGCAGCACAAAATTCTCGATGTAAGTGTTCCATTGTTCACGGGAACACATGGAAATATGTTTAGAAATTTCGACCAAGAATTGCGGAGTTTATTGTCAGTTTACGTTTTGATGGTTTAGCCACAATATTGGATTATATTGTCGTAACGCCTGCCTTAGGTCCGTCTGTCAACAGATCAGAGTTTTTAAGAGATTTTTTATTCACAACCGACTGACACATTCTCAATGGGATTGGTTGAAATCGATTTTAGTGCTAGCACAGTGGATTTTGACGCTGATGGGCTTGTGGGGGCACTTGACAAGTCTCCGTCGAATGCCTGCAGTTAAATGAATTTCAATTCGCGTTTTGTACCTCTAATATTGTGGATAATATTGAGTACTTTAACTGATAACTTCATCATCAGAAGTACAGAATATAATAGGTTATCATCAGAAGTACAGAATATAATAGGTTATCATCAGAAGTACAGAATATTGATGTATAATTTTTATTTTCGTATAGGAACAAAGAGTAGACCAACCAAAGAACTTAAGACGATGGAAGAAATATCAACCCAGTAAGTTTAACTACCTCCCACCCCCTCCCCCAAATAGATTGGTGTTGTGTCGGATCTGTTTGCATTGAAAAAAGACTAATGGTGGTAATTCAAACACACATTATACAAGAGCTAAATCTGTCCATTGCAGATCTATCTTAGGGCTGAAGTGTTATCCAAATTATTAATTAGACATTACTAGGCTTAAATTCAATCGCTTATGTCTCGGTTCAATTGGATCAATTTGACTGAAATTTTGAGCATATTCGCTTTACGTTCTCTATTTTGTAACTATTATAGCGAGAACTGTCAGCTCTTTATCTAATCTCCCATACTGCCCCTTTTATGCAAACGAAGCTAATTAAAAAATAATCATAAATACTTTATTTTATTGTTTAGCAATGAAATTATAAAGAACGACTAAAACCTGTAGATACCTGGAGGGGGGTAGGGTTACGTTGTGCTATGCTACTTAATTTCCGCATTATCCTGGTGGCCATTGATAAGCTCCGCGTATAATGAGAGTTAATATATAGCATTCACCACTATTAACATTCACTTGGAAAATCCTAAATGCTGAAAAGAATATGGCTTTGTTTTTTGTTGGGGTTTTTTTTCGGTTTAGGCGAGATCCAAAACAAACAGCTCCAAGGGTTTGTTATTTTTGTAACATTTTAGTTTAACTTTTATCCTGCACCCATTTGGAATGTTGTCGTCACCCATGCCTTTCAATTGGTTCCTCAGCCACAATTTCTGGTGGAAACCACCCCACTAAATTTTACACATGGTGTTTTTGTTCACGAGATGACGAGCCATGTTGATTTTCAGTGGATGTATATAATATCCCATTAGCGTATAAACATTCATTTTCATGAAAGGATTTAATATTGTTTAAACTTGCTCAATTGGGATCATTTTTAAAATTGAATTTACCGCTGCTACTACTGCTCGTCATAATAGTCTTAGAATTTTTAAGTACATGTAGGTTAACGGACTTCATTTTGATTTCAGACGCAAGGAAGCTCCTTTTTCATTTGATTGGAATTATCACACACTATATTGTGGAGAGTTAAAACACTTCATGTTAAAGAAAGAATTTTACTGCAATGATTGTTCCACGGCAATCTGTAAAAAATGCCTCACTGGCAGTCACAAAAGGCATGATTTTGATGAACTGGAAAATGCGAGAGAGGCAACCCGTCGAGAGTTGGAAAGTCTAAAGCAGCCCTATGAAGAAGAACTTTTCAAACAGCGTAAATTTTTAGCATCTTTAGGGAACCAAAGGATGAAGATGAAGCATGAGGCTAAAATAGCTTGTCAGAAAGTTGATGAACGAACCAACACAATTTGCCAAGCTGTCAAGACAATCGGAGAAAAAATCAAACAAAAATCCTCTGTCTCCCTGCATAAAAATGAGGAATTATTATCCAAATCCATTATGAGTATCAATTTAAAAGTTTCACAGCTGGATCCAGATTCTATCAGTAAGGTTTCAGACAAAAAGTCAGATCTCGAGTGCATTGAATATCTACCCAGATGTAAGAAAATCCTGGAGGACAACAAAGCAACACCAGAAGAGTTAGTCGTCCCAACATTACAGACTACAGAATTCCAAGCTGGTGATATAGACCGTAATTTATTGGTCAAAATGTTTGGTAAAATTGGCGAAGATGCCACTCTTGAAGATAGTGATGATGATGACGATGATGATGACGGTGAGAAATAAACAGTATCCCAAAGTGGCAACATGGTTACCAAATTAAATTAAAAACCGCGATATAAAACTATATAGTTATCTTTTACTTATCTATCTGATATTCATCAATTTGGCTTTCAGTGAATCTAGCTGACTCCTTTAACCAGATCAAATCACTCGTCTACCACATCTAATTTAGATTTGTAATAGTCCATTGAGACCAACGAAAGTTCAACTCTTAACTTATTACTTAAGTATTATTCACAATATTATGCAATGTCTGATACATGTAGTTCGACTGAATTTCTGTTAGTTGGACAATGGGCCGAACTGGTTAATTGTTGTTCACGACAAATTGAGCCGAACTCACCAATTTCGGTTTGTGACAAATTTAGCAAACTCCTTAATTAATGTACACGTCGTATTGGGCCAAATATAAATGAAAGGGTCTTATCCGATCTGGCTGAATTGTCTATTCATGTTGTCCTGGCATAATAATTGGTTTTGTATTTATTTTCGTTTTGCATTAATTTCTTACAAATCTACATTATGGTAAGGACTATGTCAGTTATACTGTCCAGATTTAACTCTAATAAAAACGATGGTTGATAGCATATAATTAAGACAATACCAGTTCCGGTTGATAATTCAGCGCCATATTGTTAATGAAAATATAGTCACTTTTCATATGCTTAAAAACGATTGTTGATAGCATATAATTAAGACAATACCAGTTCCGGTTGATAATTCAGCGCCATATTGTTAATGAAAATATAGTCACTGTTCATATGCTTAAAAACGATTGTTGATTGCATATAATTATCTAATTTATAGTAAGAAGCTTCGCTATTTGCTTTGTTATATGATAATAAATCTCGCTTTTTTATGATAGGAAACGTCGCTTTTTTATGATAGGAAACGTCGCTTCTTTATGGTAGGAAATCCCACTATTTATTTTGTTTTTGTAATAAGAAATTTCGCTATTTTATTTATTTTAAAGGAAGTTTCGCTATTTGCTTTGTTTTATGATAATAAATCTCGCTATTCATTATTCTGTGCTTTCTAGAAAAAAAAATATAAGTGAACCAATCTGTTTGGCTTCTGATTTTTGCAAAGGTTACGTTGAATTAATCATTTTGTGTGTAATCACTTGAAAGAACGTTGGGTAACATTCTTTAAAATGACACGATGTCATCCTGAAATTCAATATTACCGCCATTATTCTTTAGTGATTAGTGAAATGTCATATCCTGGTTATTTTCGCGTATTTTATACTTAATATATTACGTTATTGATATATTTGTGAAATATATTTAGGCATTCAGCCATATTGGCTTTCACGATTGTTGCCATAGAAATTTCCCCAGTTTCTGGGTTAAACCAACCATTTCAGAGTATGAATATTACATGGCTAAATGTTTTTACAGAGAACGGGCGGGGAGGGTGGTATTGTAGTGTTAAGGGCACTACTCCATGTTGGAATCCCGGCGTGGGCTGAGACTGGAGTGAAGCGGTGGGGGCATTGTAACGTTAAGGACATTACTTTGTGTTGGAATCCCTGCGTGGGCTGATAAGGGATGGGTGTATTTTAGCGTTAAGTGCACTACGGTGTTGGAATCCCAGAATGGACTACGGGAGTATTGTAGCTTTGAAAATCCCGGCGTGGGCTGAGAAGTTGGGTGGGGGTAATGTAGCCTTTAGGGCGCTACTCCGTGTTGGAATCCCGGCGTGCGCTGACAAAAATCATTTCAAACCCGTTTGGCCGACCGCTCAAGTATTTTCGCAATCATTGCCGTAACTTATGTTCTAAATGTATTATATGTCCCAAGAATGAGCTCGAAAAGTTAGAATTCGATAAAGAGTAGGCTAGATTAGCTGTCCAGACAAATCTCACCTCTCTGGCATTGCATGCGTGACCATAGAAATAAATTAACCGCCGCTGTCTGGGCAACATTCTCTCTTCGAATTGCACACTTACCCATGGATATATACAAATGTCATACATAAGAGTCACAATGGTTGAAAACGTTAAACCCCATTCCTATTTAACAGTTAGTCAACTGGCGTGGTTTCGATTCCCCGGTTGTATGTGACACGGAGTAGGGTCGCCTGTCCAACCTCATGGGTTTTCTTCGGGTCCTCCGGTTTCTTCCCACCGCTAAAGACCCCTATGCGCAAGCGAATTATTGACATCAAATTGAACCATGTGTTTGTCCCGAAATGGACTAGTTTGTGTCGAGTGGACGTTAACCCCATTTCTCTCTATTATATTTAACAGTTGCATAAAGGTAAGAACAGGTCAGGGTAGGGTAGAACGACATGGGAAAGTAAGAATATTCCGGACTGATACGAAATACCTAGGAAAGTAAAAACTAGCCTGGGCAACTAAGAACAGCT